TGGTGCCCAGTTTCCTGGAATACTATCATAATCATCCTTTAAGTGGGCACCTTGGCAGACTTAAGACCCTCTTGAGAATTCTGGAGGTGGCATGGTGGCCCTCAGTCCGAAAGGATGTGTGGACCCATGTAAAGTTTTGCCTCACCTGCCAGTCCTACAAGGCAGAGAATCAAAAGCCTGCGGGTTTAATGCAGCCCACTAAAGTTGAAGGAGCCTGGGAGAAGCTGGGAGTGGATCTTATGGGTCCATTTCCTCGCAGTAAGAAAGGCAACCAATTCCTTCTTGTCATCATAGATTATTTTACCAAGTGGGTTGAGTTGTTCCCCCTCAGGGACAGCAAAACTCATCGCATCACAGCCATCTTGAAAGATGAGATCTTTACGCGATTCGGCGTTCCTAAGGAGCTGGTGTCCGATCGAGGTCCTCAGTTCATAGGCCATGAAATGGGAAACCTCTGCAAGACCTGGGGAGTGACACAAAAGTTCACTACAAGCTATCATCCTCAAGCGAATCTAACAGAACGAGCTAACCGAATGATAAAGACCATGATTGCATCTTACGTGGGAGACAAACACAACAAATGGGATCAGTGGGTCCGAGAGTTCCGCTTTGCCATCAATTCAGCCCAACACGAAACCACGGGAAAAACACCAGCCGAACTAGCCCTGGGAAGGATCTTCAAAGGCCCTCTGGAGAGGATGATTGGTTCACCACCTGCGCCACAGCAGTTTCCTTATAAAATCCTTTAAAGACAACAACAAATGGCTGAACAAGTCATGAAGAAAGTGGGACAGAGTCAGGCCAGACAAGCTAGGTACTATAATACCCGGAGGAGAGGTGCACATCTCCTGCCGGGAGACCAGGTCTGGGTGCGCTCTCACCCACTCTCAAAAGCATCTGACAACTTCTCATCCAAGCTTGCGCCTAAGTGGTCAGGTCCAGCTGTAGTGTTGAGAAGGTTAGGCCCCATTAATTATCAGGTACAGTGGAATGACCACAACAAAAGGTTGGATACAGTCAACATGGTCAATCTGAAGCCCTACTTCGGGATTCAGCCTCCGATACCTCCGGCTGGGGGGGGGGATCTGTGACAGAGTCACCTAATCATTAATTAAATGCAATTTAAGATATGGAGATATCTGTGAAACAACAGGTTTCTTTGATTATGTAAAAAATAAATAAATAATTCCCTGTACATGTATAAGGGTAAGATGGGGTATCCGCTGTCATGTGTGTAAATTTCTGTATGTGTAAAATGATAATTTACAAAAATGGACGAGATTATTTAGGGAGGAAGAGGCGGAGAAGACGAAGGAAAGAGGTGGAGAAGAAGGGACCGGGAAAAGGAACAATAGAGCTGGCGGACCTAAACGTTAGGACCTGAATATAAAGTAAAAGTAACGAGCTGTGGACATTAAGTAAATTAAAAAGACCATTAAAAAGAAACCCATCAGTTGTTACCTTAAAGACCCGTCCTTTCACGGTATCCCAGCTGGACATCTCTACCTCAGAGGACTGAGCGTGTGCCCAGGACCAAACTGATGGATTACTTTCCCTGATTGACTGCGCGGTCCCTGGGTGAGATCGTTTCTTTTATATATTTTTCCTGGTATACCAGAGGTACAGCCATCGATCGCATATTTTTGTTTTTTTACTGGTTTTTGCTGTGTGTATCTGCTCTATTTTTGTTTGACATGCCTGGATGAGTGACTGTTTCGTTTGCTTGCGTCACTGACTCAAAAATAATCAAAAGACATTTAAAAGTTATTGAAAATGGACAGTATTGTATTTTTCGTTATTTGGGACTGTGAGTTTATTTTGGGGATTGCAAAGACTGAGATTGGTTTTGTGATGTGACCTTTTTTTTATTTATTTAAACCTATGCATGACGTGCGTATAGGCGCTGGGGGGAGGAATTAATTAAACGTGTGTTATTTGAATTTATACACTCTGTTGAGAGTTTCATATATCTTTATTCCTTAATATTTGTTGTTGTTTTTTTGGGGGGGGGGATAAATATTTTTTATTTTTCCCAAAAGTTTTCTATTTTCCTGAAAAGAGCCCCCCTTGTATAGTTAACGCTTACTTGAGAAAAGGTAAAGTGTTACAACTTATTGATGCTGTTTTTGAAGTATGAATAAGTCAATAAGTAATTTATTCCATTGAAATATCATTGATGTATTATTGAAAAGTGATTTATCTTTTTATAAATGACAGAAGGCACATCTGCCTCATTTTAGCTGTGGTATTGTGATACTACTCAGAACCATGATATTTTCATTGGTATCGCACAGTGGGTCCCAATTTTGGTACCGTGACAACACTAATCTGGAGGGGGTTCATCTGCAAAAACTAATGAAAAACTAAACAATGATATTCGGTTTTCAGTACTCGGTATTCGGCCAAGCGTTTAACAATATTTGGCTTCGGCTTCGGCCACAAATTTTCATTTCGGTGCATCCCTGTTTTAATGCCTCTGCGCTGGCAAGGCATTATATTTTCAGATTGTCTGTATGTCCATCTGTCCCATTAATATGAATGCAAACCTTGAATGCCTTGAGCAAATTTCTTTAAAATGGCACAAACATTCACTTAGACTCAACGATGAACTGATAAGATTTTGGTATTCAGGGTCAAGGTCACTATGACCATGCATCTGTCTCATTTTTGTGAATGAGATATCTCAAGAACACCTTAAGTGAATTTCTTCATATCTGGCACAAAAGTTCACTTGGACTCAATGATGAACTGGTTAGATTTTGGTGGCAAAAGTCAAGGTCATTGTGACCTTGCACCAATCTCATTATCATGGAAGCAATATCTTAAGAACACTTTCAGGGAATTTCTTCAAATTTGGCACAAATGTTCACTTGGACTCAACGATGAATTAGAATTTGGTGGTCAAGGTCACTGTTACCTTGCGTCCGTCTTTCTCTCGTGAATGGGATATTTCAAGAACACCTTGGGGGAATTTCTTCAAATTTGGCACAGTCGGCCACTTTGAGTCTTGAATGAACTGATTAGAAATTAGTGGTCAACAGTCAAGGTCACTGGGACCCTGTCTGGCTCATTCTCGTGAATGCACTATCTCCAGAAAACCTTGAGGGATTTTTTTTTCCACATTTGACAAAAACATCCACTTGGACTCAACAATGAACTCATTAGAAGTTGTTGATCAAGATCAAGATCATTGTGACCTTGCTTCTGTTTCATTCTCGTTAATCCATTATTTCAAGAACACTGTGAGGGAATGCAATATCTCAAGAAGGTCTTGGGGGAGTTTCCTTAAATTTGGCACAAACATCCAACTGGACTCAAGACTGAACTGATCAGAATTTTGTGGTCAAAGGTGAAGGTCACTGTGACCTCACATGAACTGTTTTTGGCCATAACTCAAGATTTTATACACGAATTATGACAAAATTTATACAGATGTCTAATAGGATAGAATGATGAAGTTATGACATTTCAAATCCAAAAGGTCAAAGGTCAGTTTCGCTGTGAGGTCGTAATGTTCTGCAAAAACACTTGTCTAGCCACTATTCAATGTCATATCTCAGGAACAGAGGGAGAGACATTTGTTCAGATACTGAATTGGTGACACTTATGGGTGACCATTTGAGACTGTGGTGACTGTATAGATCTTCTGTGTGCTGCCAGGGTGAAGATGTGCATGGAACATGGATGTAAACTTTAAGTACAACTTGAGTGGTTCGTGGTGGCATACAACTGCGAGGCGGTAATTCTAGTTTAACAGACGATTTGTCTACCAACATATGACTTGATATATTTGATTGCTGATTTCTACCAGTTTTGCATCAGACTTGTGTAGATAAACCAGTGCTGGTTGTTTTCTTGCTCTGTTTAAAGCTTCTTGTTGGTATGGTTCAATTGGAATTGGTAGAACTATGAGTATAAAATAATGTGGCTCGTGAATACAGTGTATTTTGTGGTGGCTGTGTTTACCCAAGAAACCTTTGAAATGACTCATCCTAATTAATAATGGTCTTTCTAGCAGCTGCACCTGCACTATTCAAGAAGGAGCTGGAAAGTCAAGAGGCCACCGAGGGAGATAAGGCCACCCTGTCCTGTGAGACATCCAACCCTGATTGCAAGGTGACCTGGCTGAAGGGCTCAACTGTGCTCACCCATGGGGAGAAGTACACTTTGGAGCAGAGAGCTACCACTCACAACCTGGTTATACACAAGCTGAATCTGAAGGATAGCGGAGAATATACCTGTGATACAGGGGACAAGAAAAGTACAGCTACCCTGACTGTGAAAGGTAACAGAGCACAGCTTCATCCCATCATTGTCTCTTGTCTCCTCTTGTCTTCATCCTTCCTGAAGTTAATTTTACATTCATCCATCCAATTAACAAGTACTGGATCAGATCATCTACTCAGCATCCATTTCTCTTGGATTTCACAGTCCTTGAGTGAAGTGTGATGTCGTATTTGGCATGTAGTTTGAGTTTTACTTATTTGTCTAATGTTGGCTAAACTTATTTTACTCTGTTTTTTTTACTTCTGCCTTAATTAATATTTGTGAGTCATCAAATTACAGACATAGTGAATGAATTTTGATGATTTGTTCAGGTTCAGATTTCTTATGTTATTAGTTGTCATTAGAATGGCACATGTCACAAAACTACATCTATATTCCTGAGAATAAGTTGTGGCATGAAATGGTGAGTCAGTGCTGAAATAAGATTCCTGGTCATGGACATACCCTCTTACTGATGCCTTCTGGAAGCTCAAGAAATCTGATCACTGCTCTCCCATCATCCCGTTCACCCTCAGAGCGTGTGCGTGTCATCCGAGAACTCTGCGATACCACTGTGATCACTGGGCAGGATGCTGTCTTTGAGGTTGAGTTGTCACACTCAGGCGTGACAAACGGGGAATGGTGGCTTGGAGACAACCTCCTCCAAAATAATGATCTAAATCAAATGAGCAGCCAGGGCAGAGTGCACCGTTTGGTCCTGAAGATGGTGACCACAGATGAATCAGGCGATGTTGCCTTCGTGGTGGGAGAAGAGAAGAGTGTGGCCTGTCTTCTTGTGGAGGAGAAGCCCAAAGGTAAAGGAGATGACATGGTCACTAGAGACAAACAGCTTTGTCTTGGCCGATGGAAATATGCTGGCGCCATCATCTCTAACATCCTAACTTTTAGATGCGCTTTCCACCCTTTGCATATAGTGTTTGCTATACAAAGAAGTGCTATCAAAATGCTAACACTAATATTATGACTTAGAGGCAAACTTTGGTATCTTTCAATCTGGACCCTATTTTTCCATGTTATTGTGTCTAAATGACTAATGGAGACAACTGCTGTTGAATCTGGTCCAGTATTGAGAAAGAGGGCTGCAGCTGGCAGTGGTGAAATAGGCTGTAATTTCACCACTGTGGGCATTTGGCATTGTCAATTTACGTTCACTAAGAGTGCTTAATCTGACAGGCTCAGATTGTTAGTATAAGTGTCTGACAACATTATAGAAAGGACCCTACAGAGAAATGAAATGTTTTCATTTACCTTTCACTTGATCTGGTCTATTTCTTCTTGTCTGTAATCAAGTCTCGCTCAAGAAAAAGTGTCTTTGTGAAATCTTGCAAGAGGTGACTTCCTGCAAAAAGACAATGGTGGAAACATAAGAGAGAATTTTAGAGAGGACTGCCAGAAAAAGTTTGTTGTGCTGGAGTACAGAAAGCAGAATTTAGTGTTGTCTACAAGATTTTCAGTGTCATGGCTGATTATAGAGTTGATTTCAACAATGTGAAAAGGTCTGCAAAATTTTACAACTGGAGTTGTTTAATTTCTTTACAGGTTTCTTTCCATAATGTTGTCAGACACTTAAAATAACAATCTGAGCCTGTCGATGGCATATATTCACTTTGGGCGTACATGAATTGACAGTGCCAAATGCCCCAAGTGGTTACATGGCGGTCTACCATGCTGCCTGCTGGCAGCAGCCCTCTCTCTCAATACTGGGCCACTTTCAAAAATAGTTGCCTTCAGTAGCCCCTTTTACACTGCCAGATTTTTCGTGAATGTTGGGCCGTTTTGCCGGCAAGCTGCGTGTGTTAGGTACACAGAGCCGGATTGGCGAGTTGATCCGAGGTGCCCAATTTTCCGCCTCGTAGGGTAGTCATATTGGCAGCACCCTTTTAGTTTAAAAAGACTGAGGCTGCCTTCCGCAAGGGGAGGGGCTGTTGAAGAGCAGGAATTAGCGAGCAGCTAGTAGCAAGAGGGAAACACAAACCTGACAGACACTGTAAAGATGAGCAACTGGGGAAACAAGGAATTACACGCCCTCCTTGCCCTCGCAAACGAAGAGGCCATTAACTGTCAGATGACGGGGACGGTGAAGAACGGGCCAACTTACGAGAGAATCGCTGAAGGACTGAACAGCCGCGGCTTCCCTCCCACGTCACTGTTTATGTCACACGCTGAGCTACACGTTTTGTTACTTGCTCACGCCCCCCATTGCCCTGAAAAAGGTGCATTCTGTATAAACAAAAGTAGGTAGGCGGCATTTTGCTGCACTCCCCGATTTTGTTTTTATACTGCTAATGCTGAAAAAAGACTGATTGGGCTTTCCTGCAAATTTGCACAATTCCTGTTTAAAAAGGGCTTTAGACACAAAAAGATGGGAAAATAGGGTCTAAGTTGAAAAATACAGAAGTTTTCCTTTAACACTAAAATTGTAATTATTTTTTGAAGATGCATTTTCAATACATCATTTATCAAATGTTACAGTTTTATAGCTTAGTTTCTTTGCTTTTTTGTAATAAACTTGGAAGGGTACACATTACAATTCTGACAAAATTTCACAGCATGCATCTATGTTTTTAAGTTTATGGCTTTGAAATTATTAATGCCAGGGCTGTTAAGGAAGGTAACATTACTACCATTATTAAATCTAGTTTGGGGTTTCCCATATTTACAGTGTTAATACTAGAGAAGCCACACAACACTGTGGCAGTAGAGGGTGAAACTGTCACTCTGGCCTGCACCATCTCTGACGCCAAGGGCACTGTCACCTGGAAGAGAAACAACGTGGCCATCCACGCAGGTCTCAAGTATGACCTGAGGAACAACGGAGCATTCCACCAGCTTCATATCCACAACCTGCTGCCTGAGGACTCAGGGATATACACCTGTGACACAGGAGATGCACAGTGTGACGTCACCTTGACTGTGCAAGGTAAAGAACGATGCCACCTCATTGCTGTTGATCAGATTCAAGAATGTGGACCAAGATCAGATTGACATGAACAGCTGAAATATTCTTGAACTTCCACTTCCCTCAACCTCATACCCAGTCGGGCATCAGCTAAAACTTTTGTCCAAATTCCCTTAAGAGATGTTTTTCTTGTCATCTCAAAAATCTGATGCCAAACTGTCCATCTCAACATCTGATGCCAAACTTTCCCGTTTTAAATTCCCACCAGGTGCCCCAGTGTCCTTCCACAAAGAGCTGAAGAACCAGGATGCCGTAGAGGGTGATGATGTTACTCTGCAGTGTGAGCTGTCGAAGCCAGGTGTTCGTGTTGAGTGGAGGAAAGGAGGCATGGTCCTCCAGCCTGGTTTGAAGTTTGAGATGAGGCAGGAAGGGTGCATTCAAGAGCTCTGTATACGGAACCTGGAGCCTGACGACAGTGGCTACTACACCTGTGATGCGGGAGACCAGCTCACCACAGCTTCTTTGGCAGTGCAAGGTAGCCTATTTCAATACTATTTTTGTCTGTTTTGAGTATACTGTAGGCTGATTGGTTTAAATCTGACTGTATTCCTCAATGTATGCTTACAAATAGAATAGTAGGTTTGTTTTTAGGACTGGCCTACATCTTAACTATGATGTTGCATGGTATCATTTTCTGTCCATTTATTTGATGCTATTCATGAGTCAGAGGCTCAGTGCATATGTGTATTTTTTCGCTCAACAGTGAAAGAAGTCTTCATTGTGCATGGTCTTAAGACCACTGACGTCTTTGTTGGGGAATGGGCAACCTTCTCCTGTCAGCTGTCTGGTAGGGCACCAGGCAAGGTGCATTGGTGGCTGGATGGCACCTTGCTGGAGAACAGCCCCTTTAGTGAGATAGGGCTGAGCCAGGGACACATCCACACACTCACCTTAAAGAACCTGGCCACAGATGACTCTGGCACTGTCACGTTTCAAGCTGGGAGTTTGACATCAACAGCCAAGCTCTTAGTCAAAGGTATCACATTATAAAGCTAGTCAGTAGAGACTGAGATAAACAATATTTCAGTCTCTTTTTATACTCTGCAGAATTTTAAATCCACAATTTACAACATTTGTAGCATAGTAATGAAATAAGGAGGCACAAAATGTACCAAATTTCCTCTGTTTTCTACCTAAAAGAATATTTAGCTGATTTTCAACCAGCTCTGTGTCACTGCAGTGTGGGTAGAGCACATGAAACGTACCCACACTGATCAGCCCCACAACGTGATTACTTGCCATCCTGCAGATCTTGGCTGGTGAACAGGCAAGGACCTTTGGCAGGGGGGGAGCACAACCCACACTACAGTGACACAGTGCTGGTTGAAAACTGGCAAATTGTCTTTGTAATGACTTGTATTAACCAAATACAAGTTGGCACATTTCTTCTTGAAGAATATAAGTGATGATTCCATAAATTAAGATGTTTTCTGCAGGGTTCCATAAAAAGTTTGAAGTTCATGAATAGAATAGTAGTGGAATTTTTTTTTTTTTTTACATTGCAGTGCTTCTTCATGCATGATAATAATAATAATATTGGCAGTTGCTGTATGCTTTGATACAACCAAAACATACAATTGGGTGCAGCACCACAGTAAAGTTTTACAGGGCAGATAAACACCTAAACCCAATCATCTCCAATTGTCTGCCATAACTTTTTAATGAAAATATATATCATTTAGACTGATTTTAATTCCTTTCTTTTTGATTCTCTCTGAATTATTCCTATGTGCTGTATTTTGGGCTGCTGAAATTATAAATCAATTATAATCACGATTATGTTTCTCACTTTAGAGGTTACTGTTATTTGTCACAACTTTTCACCCACCTTTGGGAACAAAGTAGAGTTATAGCTCTTCAACTTTTAAAAGCCGCTTCTGATGTTGCATTGGGAAGGACAAATCCAAATAAGGTCTGACATGCAATAATGATGTCTTCTTTAAAATGTAAGTATAATTGGACATCTGGACATGCTGGTTGTGGAGTTTCTTCTCACCATGATCTAAAACATGCAGGCTCAATCAATTAGCAACTATAAGTCGTGTGTACGTGTGAATGGTTTTCTGTCAGTATTCGTCAGCCTTGTCATTGACTGGCAACCTGTCCACCCCCCTGCGATCTTTAAGGATAAGCAGGTATAACTAATTGATGGATGGATGTCTACTCACCTATGTGCCGTAACGTTGCCCAGCTACAGTCAAGTACTATTAACCTGCGTAGCAGATTACATATACACTCCCTCAGTGGTCAGTTGTTGTCTTGTGTCTGTTGGCCTGTGTTGTTTTCTTTATTTGTCTGCGAAAACAGATTCACTGCTGTTATTACACCCAGACAGAATAATCAAACAAAAATGATCTGTCCATATTCTGTCTTTGCACTTAAATATCCTTGGCTCTGCGAATCACCCATTGGCTGCAGTCTTAATCATCCGAGAAGTTTTCCTGACGGCTGGGTCTGTCTCTGTTGTTGAGGCGTGCAGTCCTGGTCGCTAACTTGGAGTTGCTGCTTGTTCACTGATGTCTCTGACTTCTTGCTGCTGTTTTGCAATTGTATATGAACCAGTGTCCCTTGGTTCATATAAATGACCTCTTACACTTCAATCCCAGATTCAAGCCTGTGTTGTGACCCATCCAGAATTCCTTCTGCCTTTTCATCCAAATCAGAATGTGCCAAAAATAAATGTGGAGACAGACTGCACCAAAACTGACTTATCTGTTAGCAGCATTTGGCCAAGTCTTAAAAGTGTCACAGAATCAATGTCCAGTATTTACAAACAACAAACAGTGCCTGTTGGACGTACATTCATGGATTGTGAATGATATGCCAGCGAGTGATCTGTACCAGTTACGTCACTGGCAGATCATCAGCATTTGCACATTGTCAGCTGCATTTCAGATATGCACTGAATGCTGCTAAGTGTTATGATTGCTATATAGTAAAGAATGAGTTTTAAGTGAATCCCCCTTTAATATGTAGTACAGATGTTCTTGCCTGATTGGGAAGACGAGATTAGTTATACACAGCTTGCTGGAAACATTCATCTATGATTTGGGACTCCTTGAGTCATTGTTTCAGGCCATGACCCTGTGGTGTGGCACCTGTGTAAGTTTAATAGTAGCCAAAAGCATGATCGTGATTATTATATGGTTAAATGTGCAGCCCTAAGTCTAAATGTCCCTTAGTAATGTAAATTATGAATAGACAAATGTGGTGATTAGACTGAGTGGACTACATGTAGTAGGCCTTATTTTGGTGAAGTTAAGGTTTGATCCAAGTTTTATTGTACAGAGTTAGTGACCTACTGGATAGTGTCAACAGAAATGTTGTGTTAGGAAAGTGCTGCTCCACCCATCCATGCAGGCCGGCTGCTGTTGAATGCTCACGTTCTATTTATCTCCACTATCCCATATACCAAGCCCTGCCCCTAACCTTCAAGCACTAAAACCTCTAACCTCCCCACACCTACCTTTTGAGTTTGGTATTTCTATCCACTTATCACCCCTCTTCTCTTCATCTGCGGCCAGCATTTCTTGGCCCTTGATTGTGACCATTACCCTGAATCTTGACGGTTGGGCTTTTTGACCCCCTATTTATTTCTGACTCACATACAGTGGACATTAACAAATATATAAAGATTCTGTGCCAGAGCACATACACTTTGTACTGGTCAATCATTAAAAAGCACAATAATATCACTCACGTATGAACATCACTTCAACATGCTTTTGGGGGTTATAAAGCTCATATGTCATTCGTCGTGTCCTGCACTTATCCTTAAATCTCATGGCCAAGCCCTGACCCTATGACCCCTGAACCCAACCTCAGATCCCACAGTTGAAGTGGTGAGCGAGATGGAGGACATTCGGGTGCTCGAAAACCAACCGGCTGAGTTCATCTGCCAGTTCTCAAGGCCGGTCAAGGCTCAGTGGAAGAGAGATGGGCAGCCGTTACAGCCTGATGGCCGAAGGGTGGTAGTAGAGCAGGACTGGAATGTGGCTCGCTTGTTCATAAGCCGTGTGTCTGCTCAAGACAGGGGCACATACTCCTGTGAGGCAGAGGGGACCTGTGCGGTCGCTTCACTCTATGTGGAAGGTGAGCTTCCCTCCACATGGAAAGAGCCCTTTGGGAGACTCCTTTGCTCCCTCATATCTCAAAGTTACCATATGTGGCCAAATAAAGTGATCTGTTGTTGATCATCACAAAGTTTGTGCCCTTTATTGCCAAAGCCCAAACTATTTGACTTCCTAAAAAACTCAGTCCTCTTAAAATCTTTATTGTGCTTTCTAGTTTCTTTCTTTCCTCATTTCTTTATTTCTTCATTTTTTCTTTTTTTACAGGCAAACCCATTGACATTGTCCAGGGCCTGGAGAATGTAGAAACCATTGATGGAGGTGAAGCGTTGTTTGAGTGTGCCCTCTCTCGTCCAGAGAGCAAAGATTTCCGCTGGCTCCTTGATGGGAAACCAGTTAAGGAATCCCCTAATGCTGAGATTGTGACATTTGAGAGCGGCCGTCGTCATCTGCTCCTTTTGAAAGAGTTGCGAGTGACAGACAGTTGCACAGTGACCTTCAAAGCTGGCACAGCATCAACATCTGCCCAACTCTCTGTCAAAGGTGAGTCATCCAAATGAACACAAGACTTTGACGTTGTACTAATTTCATCATCTTGCCTGAATTATATGTTATAGTATAATAAAGTTCAAATGACAGACTTTTACATTTCATTCTGTGGATTTTGTCCTTGAAGGTTGGCAGCTGGATGTTGTGAAGGGTCTGGAGGACAAGGTGGCTGCAGTGGGAGAGAAGGTTGAGTTTTGTGTTGAGCTCACCGAGCATGTCCCTGCAACAGAAGTAACCTGGTATGCTAATGGAGTTGAGCTGAAGTCCAGTGACCTCTGGGCTACGAGGGTTGACGGCTGTGTGTATCGTCTTGTCCTGAGACAGGCGCCTCTTTTGCCACAGCAGGAAATTACATTTGCTGCTAGAGATGCTCTCTCTTTGGCCAAACTCACCATCGTCAGTAAGTGTTTGAAGAAGTTCTGTAGCATTTTCTGATTACAAAATTTTCATCATCCTTATTATATCTTTATTTTAAGGAATTCAGTTTTTAGATTTGAAATGTTAAACGTTCTATTGAGAGATATCAAGAGGATAGACATGTAACCATGGTTTTCTAAGCGCCCTGACACACCAAGACATTAGTCGGCTTTGGTCAATGTTTGGCCGTTGGTGAGCGTCTGTCGCCATAGTTTTTGTAGTGTGTCCGTAGTCAGCCCTTGTCGGCTTTTTTCAGCTTGTTCAACATATTAAATCTGCAGGCGTGAGACTGAAACAAACTTGTTAAAAAAGTTTTTTAAAAGTTTTTTAGCAATTGAGCTCTTTAGCAGAAACAGTTTGTAATTGTTTGTGTTACTGTTTGCTTCCATACAGTCAGTATTATTGGTCCTTTCAACATCGAGTTGTTGTCGATGTGCTAACTGGCTAATTAGTGTCTTGAATCTGTCCTGTCGGTTCTCTGTTTTCCTGTTTTTTTAATAACGAATATAGACTACTGCCCCCTGCTGGTATGCAGAGTTAGTTCCTCTTATGCAGGCAGACCATACATGCTAGTTGGCTGTTGGCTGAAGTCTTTCTGGTGTGTTCATGTGCTACTTTTTGGTTGAAACACAGGCAGCGTGAGGTGACAGTTGTTGGCCTGTGTCACCACTAGTTCTTTGATGTTGGCTTGGTATCTCTGGGCTTTAAGTTAATCTATCTCTCTCTGCTACTTAGGCATTCCAGTTTTGTACTCTACATGTCACAGGATGAAGTGATAGTCCTGATAGTGTAGAAAACAGATGGCACATAAACATTACAATCTGTGTAGTTCTTGATTTGATTTGTTTGTTCTGATGCCTACTTCTTTCCTTTCTAACAGCTGTACCTGATCCTCCAGAGGACCCAGAGGTCCTCAGTAAGACTGAAAAGTCTGTCACCCTCTCTTGGTTCACTCCTCTACATGACGGAGGGAGTCCCATTCTTGGCTACAGGGTGGAGATGCGGCTGGTAGACAGTGCCCTTTGGCTCCCATGTCATTCTGAACCTGTGTGCAACACAGAGTTTGTGGTTGGAAATCTAATCTTGGGGAGTGGATACAGGTTTAGAGTGGCAGCCATCAACAGAGCTGGGATTGGAGAGCCTGTTGAGTTGCCCCAGACTGTGCAGCTTGGTGAGTGGATGAGGGCATTTAGCTTGTAATTATATAAGTCAGCAATTGTTTTTTTCCATGAGATGAAGATATGAGATGTTTTATAAACTGTTACATGATGTGTGTGCTTGTTTTCTCTTTGTTAAACAGAGGCACCAAGGCAGCCATTGATTTCCCCAGGTAAGACATTATGTGTTTGGTGTGTACATTTTTGTATTTATCCTGCAAGTTCTTAAATTCTTATACACTTCTTACACACCTCTGCATATTTATCTTCATCCAATTGAATTTAAACCCTGTAGAATGTCGATCATGCTAACTTGGACTAAGTAGAGTTTTAATCAACAGGGTCAGGCATCACAAGTAGGTTTTGTGCTGTGTGGGTACTGACATTACGTTTTTAAGACACTGAAATTAAAATTAAATCAACATTGAAAACATTGTGGTTACAGGTAAAGTGGCAAAACAGGTAGAGACTGAGGTGATGGGGCAGCCCAGTCTGCCTCCAGAAGCTGCTGAAGAAGGTGACCTCCATGAGCTGTGGGAGGAATCAGCCAAGAAACGGCGCATGAGTCGAGAACCCACTCTGGACTCCATCACTGAACAGACTGAGGAGGACAGTAAAGGTGGTCAGAAGAAATCAGAACAGAAAGAGCTGAAGGCCTCAGAGAAAGTGGAAGTAACATCAGTAGAGAAGGAGCAGGCCATCGTGTCCAAGAAGCAGACAGAGTCCAAAATGTACACCAGCTCTGAGGATGAGTCTGTTCCTGGGGGTCCATCGCTTGTCACCTACCTCAAGAAGAGCAGCAAGTCTGGTGTCACAGCGACCACTGAGGGAGAGGCTATGACTACTGAGAGGTTCTTTGCACATTTCCAGATGGCAGAGCAGAGAACAGTGCATCTAACAACCACCGTTCAACAGACAGGTGAAACACAAGTGACGACAGAGGAGACCAGTATCATGGAGATCAGTAAAGAGGAAGAGCCTGAGCTCAGAGATGCTGCCATTAAGATTCAAGCTGCATTCAAGGGCTACAAAGCCCGCAAGGACATGCGCCCTGTCTTCAAAGAGGTCTTCAAAGACCAGACCAAGGAGCCCGGTGGCACCATACATCTAGAATGTGTGGCAGAAGGTAAACCTGATAAGGTGCGCTGGCTGAAGGATGGAGAACCACTGATGGATGGCAAGCACCACCACATTGATATCTACAACGATGGTACTTGCTCACTGGTCATCACTGCTATCACTACAAAGGATACAGGAGTTTACACTTGTGAGGTCACCAACAAGTTTGGAGTCAACTCTCACAGTGGTAAAGTCACAGTAGGAACAGCGAGAGAATCTTCCGGGCGACGGCCACTGACCGTGGGCTACAGTGCAGACAGCGAGCCCGATAGCTCCTCTGGAAGTGAGATGGATGAGTCACTGAGGCAGGCAAGCAGACGTCTACGGCGCCTTCTGCGCACACGCCTCCCACCAGATGTTGAAGAAGAACCATTTGTCAGCGCAGATGAAGGAGACCTGCGGCCTCCAGATCCTCACTCTTACCGTGAGGACGACACATACATCTACATTCGCTTCAACTCACGGTCAGAGGCTGAGGTTGCCTCAACGAGGTTCCAGGAGATGTTTACAATCCATGGAGTTCCTGTGGAGACCGCCATCCTGGAGGCAGGGCCTCTCAAAGTGGAGCTCCGAATTAGGAAGATGGGCTACACGCAAGATGGTACAGCGACCCCCACACAAGACAGACAGCCTCCTGCATTTACGACTGGAGCCCCAGGTAAGAACAGCATGGCAGTGACAGTTTATAAATCATCAATAGATAACGTTCAAAACCATTTATATTCTGACATCATCATGTATGTTTTTGCAAAACTCCTCATTATCATATAAACAAATGCTGCCACATCTGAATTATTCAAGTTGTTCTTCTTGCATTAATTTGCTAGTTTACGACTTATCTGCAAAATAAAAGTTCTGTATACGCTGTGCATTCAGCTCTCTGTCCTGTTTTGTACTCACTATTATGCTTGTTAGTTAAGTCCAGCTGATACATATACTTCTTTGATTAAAATATTTACCTTTCCTTATATGCTCTCTGATTCGCTGAACATGTGCTCTTGTTGTCACCCAGCTGCCCCAGTCTTCTTGACAGAGCTACAAAGTCAGGATGTTCCAGATGGTTATCCAGTCAGCTTTGACTGTGTTGTGATTGGCAAGCCCCCTCCCATCGTTCGCTGGTATAAGGACGGCAAACTGCTGGAGGAGAATGACCATTACATGATCAACGAAGATCAGGAGGGCTGCCACCAACTCATCATTACCACTGTACTTCCAACTGACATGGGTGTCTATCGTTGCACAGCTGAAAACAGCAGCGGCATCGCAGCCACAAAGGCCGAACTCAGGGTTGACAGTGAGTGAACACACATTACATGCACAAACACTTGTGAGTACCTTGGCTTGAGTTATTACTTAACTACATTTCTAACTAAAGCTGTCTGTATATTCACCTGCCTGTTTTTATTGTTCTTTTTTTTTTTTGTTTGTTTGGTGGTGCAGTTTTCCTTTGCTTGTGTGAAACTAGCCAAATGCACACATTATGACATCTTGGATTAAACATCTTGAAATGTTTCCGGCACAGCTATAGAAATGTCATGATTGTGTTGTCAGTCCTTTGGATTCACAATTCTTATCTACATTTACATTTAGCATTTTGTTCATAAATTACAGCAGTACTCTCAATAGTTCAAAACAAAAGACAATGTGTTTGATTAAGGCAGGGGTAGGCAACCTGAGGCTCCGGAGCCACATGTGGCTCTTTAGCACCTCTCCAGTGGCTCCTTGACAAAAAAAAATTACATGGAAATGAGTAATGGTTATGTTTTTTAACATTTTATTTTTTATATATCAGTGTTGTAGGCCTAAAGAAACTCCTGCATTCTCCAATTGTAAAACTGTGAAGCCTCCAAACCAAATGAAAATAACTAAAATGTGTGTAACACATCTACTGCCTGGCACCTTTGCCTTGAAATTGTGCCAAACCTCCACAGCAGAGGCTCGTCTTGAGTTCTAGCTGGTTAGCTATGGATGCCAGATCAAAAAAGTAAAAGTCTCAGGATATAATAGAGAATTTAGTAGTGTGCGGACAGATTTGTTTCCTTCCACCGCCAGCTCTGCAAAGATAAAGTACCAAATAATCATGAACAGTGCCCTGTAAAGTCGTTACCTTGTGGTAAGACATAAATAAATGATCATTTAGACTATTAGTATAGGCTAATTTGGACTTAATAGGCCTTTTTACCTTCATTAAAAGTCTTAAATATATTTTGTGGCACAACACAGATTTTTGAAAATTATTTTTGGTCAGAAATGGCTCTTATGATAGTAAAGGTTGCCGACCCCTGGTTAAGGGATGTGTCTCTTACTTTATTTTATTTTTATTTACCAATCTCATTTTCTTGCTTTCACCATTGCCCTATCTTTTGCTCCTCTTGCTACACATGAAACCAACATCTGTATGAAGCAAATTAAGTTAAAGCACATTCCTTTTGAGTTGTTTAAAAACATATTGGGAAATGTAGGAAATGAATAACTGAAGCTGAAGTACTGATTTTATGGAAAGCAGATCCACCAAAATGTAACATTTACCACAAAATAATTAACATGGATTTAACATAGCTCAGTGGTGTTATATAACATTTTAAGAGTATCCAGCATCTGCATTTTCCAATCTCAAACCTTACCAAACTGAAACAGAAGACTTAGTCCTGAATTAGCATCTTAAAAAAGCAGTGGTCAAGATGACCCTACTTAAAAATACTATTCATGAATTGCCTCACATTAAGACCTAACAAAAGCAACCTGTGTTCAAATTAGAATGCTCAGATTAGACATCATCTGACACTCAAACCAGTTCTCACAAGACTAGAATAATTATACAGTCACATCGTCCCTAATGTCACTGATCACTGCTTAATGCTGTACATCAATCTTTTCCATCAGTGTCCTGCAGCTCGGATTATGACACTGCTGCTGATGCCACTGAGACATCTTCCTTTGTCAGTGCCAAGGGCTACATGTCCAGGTAAATTTACTATGAATGGTGTTTTATGGTGTTTAAAAACATATATCGGTAACTATTATTGATAATGTTGATACTATATAATATATAATACTGAATTCATAAGGTGTACTGTTCTCCTCTCCTCGTGCAGGGAAACTGAGACATTCGAGTCTGTAACTGAAGATGATCAGCTACCACAAGTTGTGGAAGAGCTTCATGATGTTCATGTCAGTCCAGGTTCACCTATTGCTAAGATGCAGCTCAAAGTAAAGGGTAAGTTACAATATTGATAGTCAACTAGTCCATACCCATTGGTAGCTTTGTCACCTTCTACTTATGCCAGTCCTCAATGTCTATGTGCAGTTTCACATAGATTGACCACGTCAGTGAGTAGAAAAACGTGGGACAGACAGAATGACTGACTGACAGAATGACACACTGACAGTTTCCGTGATTATGTACAGCATACCATACCATGACTTCAGTCAAGTTAGAAAAAACAAACAACCATTGGTCCACAGGGGGAGCCACAGCAATTGGTCGCATTTTAGCCATTTTGAAGCATTTTTCTGTTGTTATAGCGCCACCCAGTTGCCAATTAGAGTTAAATTTCTCCAGTCACCTTGAGGCGTCCTGTTCTACATATCTACCAAGTTTAGTAAAAATCCATATTGCGGTTAGGCCTAGATAAGAAATGAGCTCTCTAGCGCCCCCATTTTGTTTGATGGGGTCAATAATGGAGGGGTCCCCTCAGATTATGTGTGGTCATATGCCTACAAAGTTGCGTGGTGATGGGTGAAACCCTTGAGATGTTATACACCTTTATGTGATGAGCCACGCCCTCCACAATATTCATTGCCTTATAGAAGCTCAGTTTTAGTAAGTTTTCCAACTTTTGCCAAGAGGGAACTTTAGATATTGGTCCCTAGATTATGTTCACCCAGTTTCATGCAGATCGCTCAAACTTCCTAGGAAGAGATCCATTTGAAGTGTTTTTCAAAAAATTCAAAATGATGAAAATCTATATAAGTGGAAGTTATGGGTTCTTGAGGCAAATTTGTTCCTCGTGAGGAGAGGCATCTCTGTGCAAAGTTTTATGTCTGTCTATGAGATATACCCATTCAAAGTTTGACATTTCAATCAGTTGCTATAGCGCCCCCCTTTGGCCAAGTGATGTAATATTGCTTCGTTGGCATCCTCCCATGACCCTCTACCACTGTGCCAAATTTCACATGGATTGACCAAGTCAGTGAGGAGAAAAACGTGGAACAGACACACAGACAGAGTTTTCGTCATTATATAGTAAGATTCATCTGACCTACCAAGTAACAGCTAATTGTAACTGTCTTGAAGTCCACAGAAAATATTGTTGTTTCTAAAATACCTATGGTCTTCCAGGCTTCCCCAAACCCAGAGTGTACTGGTTTAAAGATGGCCACCCTTTGCGACCTTCAGAAAGAATTCTGTTGCTCGGAGAAAGAGATGTTCATGGTGTGGAGATCCTGGAGGTGAAGAAAGAGGATATGGGGGAGTACTCTGCTTACATCAGCAATGCTGCTGGTTCTGCGTACTCCTCTGCCCGCCTGATAGTTCTGAGTATGTATGCAAACATCTGGATTGTTGCACATCTATGTTGAGCATGAGATACTGTATTTTAAATTACTTTGAGCTTAACAAATGAAGTTAACATCTGTGTTTTGCAACAGGTCCAGGGGAGATTATGCCACAAGATAAAAGAGGTAATGTGACATTTATCGTACAAACGTGGTGCAGGTGCTTTAGTAGATATATTATGTTATAAATGAGTGTGCTTTTGTTTCACACTATATTTTTACAGACCCCAAGGAGCCCCTGGTGCCACCCCGCTTCCTTGAAAGGTTCAGCAACAGGAAGGTGAAACAAGGAGCCAGCATCACTCTGTCTGTCAAAGTAGAAGGTTTGTTTAATTTACTGTGATTGTTGTATCATCCTTTAACACCCACAGTAATCTGGGGACATCCAAAAAGTTTCATCTTGTGCTAAAAATTCTCAATTCTCCACTTTACCTTTTCAGGCTCTCCCACTCCTATGGTGTCCTGGCTAAAGGAGGAATCAATGGAAGATGTCCTGTGGATCAAGCCTGATACCAAGGGATACAAAATAGCAAGCTCGGGGCGCCAGCATAGCCTCATCTTGATGGATGTGGGCACAGAATACACCGGGGCTTATACCTGCATTGCCACAAATAGAGCAGGACAGTCCATCTGCACTGCCCACCTCGAGGTTGATGAGAGTAAGGAAAGCAAAGTCATCTAAGCACGACAGAAATTATGTTGAGATCTGAATATATTCATGAACTAGAACTAGACACTAAGTAGAGTTCAAACCTTTTGCTGCCACAGTTTGTGTTCTGGGTTTGATTGTAACTGTATGCTTATTTTTCTACCCCATTTCTCCAGCACCACAACCAAAGAAAGAGACCAAAACCTCAGAGTATGTTTTTCTTTGAGATTTCAGATACATAATTGCAGCATTGCACATAAAAAAGGCATGCGCATACAGTATATTTAAAATGTATGCATATGTGAAAAGAAAATGTAACATTTAATTCTCTGCAGGGTTCTTGGAATTACAGTTAGTCCTCCAGAAGAGGAGGCTGGCAAAGGAAAAGGTGAGACATATCACCTTATATACTGGCATTTATTATTTATACTAATATCATTGGTTATTCATAGTAACATCAGTTATGTTATGTATGTTCCTTTCTCTTTGTGTGTGCCTTAAGAGGGTAAAATACCCTACCTAGGTGAAGTAGGTACAGAGGAATTCCTCATGAAACTCACCTCCCAGATCACTGAAATGGTGTCAGCGAAGATTACCCAAGGTAAGTATATGTAGCAGACCACTCTGTCTTAACAGTTTTCAATTTATTTATTTATTTTTTTAAGTTATTATAGTTAAAAGTACTTTCTACTAGAAATACTAGGGGTGGGAATCTCTACGCACCTCACGATTCGATTCAGTTCTGATTCTGAGGGCAACGATTTCGATTATAAAATGATTCTCAATTATAAAACGAGCCAATAAGAAAATTTACACTAGATATTGAAAAACATTGTTGTAATAAAACTGGGAATACATATTCAGTGCATACAAACTCTATTACTTATTGTGGTTGAGATGACTACACTCCACCAGTCTCCTCCGGTCCATCCTCCTCATCCACAAATCTCAACGGGACTCTCCTGTCCCTCGTCGACCTCCTCAACATTTCTCCTCCAGTATTTACAAAACTATAACTGACTATAACTATCTATGAACTATAAAAACACGAACTGTTGCAAAAAAGACGAACGATGGAAAAACTATGGTGAAAACACGCCGAAAACTAATCAAAAAATATTCAAAAACACGGCATAAAAAAACTCAAAAGCTCTCAAAAAACCCCACAAAAACTATTATTTACAACACTTAATATTATTTACAAAGATGACGCCACCCAAACTCCACTAAAACTCACCAAAATTCCGCTACATCACCGCTAAATTACTCCAACTCTCTCCTCGTCAGCTGTCACTCTCCTCCTGCTGTGCTCACTTCCCTTCCCTCCTTCACAGGTAATGACGTCACTACGCTTCTCAGCTCTCAGAATCCGTTGGAATTTACGTCGATAGCGTGAATGGTCGAAGAGTTATGGTATCGACCATTCACACTATCGACGTAATTCCAACGGATTCTGAGAGCTGAGAAGCGCAGTAACGTTGATAGCGTGAATGGTCAAGGAGTTACGGTAATTTGAAAAATAAATATAAAAATAGAATTAAAATCGATTTTGAGTTTTCCACATTGATGCTCGCATCGTTCAAGACAGAATCTCAATGCATCTAAAAATCGATTTGTTCCCCCACCCCGAAGAAATACTGAGCATTGTTAGAATATATCCAGGGTGCATTACAGAAAGCTGGATTTACAGTAAAAAGCCTTTCTGGAGTCGACCTAAGCAGTTAAATCAAATGTTTCTACAAACTAAGTTTAACATAAACAGGCTTATTCAAGTTCGGTTCAAACCAAGATAAAGCAATAATTTTGTTAGCATTTGACTACAGCCCCCATGAAGCTTTGGCAGCATGCCGGTGGCTGTAAGTAATGGGATAGCATCTAATTAAGTGTCCAGTACAGTGGTATAGGCCATTTGGCTGAGAATATGGACACAAAAACTCAGGAAGATGTTTCAGCTCCAGACTGTGGCTGTCTGTAAAAGGTAATAACTTAACCTGCACGTACAACTAATATCCAGCACTGACAGTTGGAGTTAAAATCGCAGATGGTTTTATTCAGTGTGAAATGATTAATTTCTTCGTCGTCATACATCCACAAGCTAACTGACAAGATAACATACTGTAGGTCAGAGATCGGCAACCGAGGCCATAGACTCCCAAAACTATGCAAGTTTTTATTCTACACTTTACCAGTGATTTAAAAGCTGAGGACGCCCTCACCCAGTGGGAGATCCTATCTCACAAATCACTGGTGTTTTCTGTTGGAATAAAAATCTGCAGGTTGCCTGTCCCTTTGCTAAATTAGACTGAGCAATAACTTTTTGATACTCGTATGAAACATGCAAGCTGCAGTGACTGGCTTTGCTAGTTGCTTATGCTACAGATGCTTAAAGTGTGTAAGTAAGCCGTGCATTACGTTGGATACAGTGCTTCTGTTCTGTTATATGTCAGTCAGGTTTGGTTGAATTCAGTGAATTCATTTTGTTTATTCAAGAATTGTGAAAGTGTTTTTAATCTGAATGTTTTAGTGGCACTACAATTCTTGAATTTTAATTTACCATACTTGACAAAGCAGTCCTCCTCTTCTGCTCTTCCAGCGCTTGTTTTCCAGCATGTTTTGCTTCATCCATGAGTGTATGACCTCCCATTGCTTCATACAGACATCATATCTTTACCACCTTTACATCCATCAGTTTAGCAACCCAACCAATTAAATGCTCATCCAATCATTAATTTGTTATTCAGACAGCTTACAGAATCATGAAGTGCTCCAGTGGATGAAATCTTGGCCCAAAACTACCAGTATGTATCCAAAGTGCATCAGCTTCACAATTAATAAACATTTTTCCATTGAGTTATGAACACAGATGACTTGTGGAAACCATTTTGATCTACATTTCCTTTTACACTCAGGAAAAAAGACATGTATTTATATAAGAAGGTGCAGCCAATACAGTTTCCTCTTTTCCCATGTCAACATTATTGTTGTTGAAATTGAAATGGATTTAAAAATGATTTTAAAATGACTGTGATGTCTCACCAACTTATAGCTGGAATACATGCTCACCGTCAGACATGTATGTGGAGAGCTTAGATACCGTAGCTTTGTCCTGCATGTTGTCACAGTACTAACACATACTGTAGCAAAGCACTTAGAATGAAATGATTGTTGTGGATGTTTTTCTTTCTTTATGTTTTTTACATCACAAAAAATGTAATTATTTTGAACTTGAATCTAAAATTAGATACAGGGGTGATGATTTAAATGTTTTTGATGAACATTGTCAAGTAAATAAAGCGCACCAGTAGGTGTCAGCAAAGAGCCAGTTAGTGACTGACTGGTCCTGCCTCTGTCAGGCTCTGCTAAACTGGGCACTAATGACTGCCACCAAATTCAAGTCAAAGAAACAGTTTCTTTTCATCCAGAGCAAAGTACAGTATGATAATCCTTTCTTTTGCTCACATCAACATTTCTTGATACATAACAATGACAAGTGCAAATTAGATTATTTTAATGATACATGCTGTACTTCGTTGAACCGTTGACCTGTCTTCCTGTGATTACCTCCCTCCGTCCGTGCTGCCCCAGCTTCATTACGCGTACCAGGTGTTGACAGTGATGATGAGACCAAGACCCCTTCTCCATCACCGCATCACGGTCGCTCTCGTCCTCCCTCCCTCATCGCTGACTCCTCCTCTGAGTCTGATGAGGGGGATGCCAGGGGAGAGGTGAGACATACAGAAATTCTCAGTGATGTTTCGGAAACCACGTGTGCTGTAATTAATGTTTTTTTGTTTGTTTGTCTGTTTTTTCACAGATGTTTGACATTTATGTGGCAACAGCTGACTACAACCCCATCACAGCAAGCAAAGAATCAATTTCTCTAAAGGAGGGACAGTATGTTGAGGTCTTGGACTCAGCTCATCCGCTCAAATGGTTAGTCCGGACCAAACCCACCAAAACCACACCATCCCGCCAAGGCTGGGTGTCACCTGCCTACCTGGACAAGAAACTTAAAGTATGTCTTCAAAACTAAAGCAACTGATCCACCAATTTAACATCTTTTAACCATCAAAAATTGTCTTGAGTCCATTGAACATTTTAACAGTAACAGTAAAACTGTGTATTCTTCCAGCTCTCTGCTGATACAAGTGACCTTCCAGAGACAAGTGTAGAGGAGCTGTCCGAGGGTGAATACAAGAGGAAATTATTGTAAGTGAAGCATATCTACACTCACTTACCAAACGCTGTAACCACATGACATATATATAACCAGCTTTTATTTTATGTCCCCAGCCAACTGATCCAAGACCTGATAAATGGCGAAGCAGAGTTTGTAAAGGAGGTAGACTTCTTTACAACCCATCACCTGAAGCATGCAGAGAGCCCTGATGCACCGCCTGATGTCAGCAGCCAGAAGGAAGCAATATTCAGGAACATTGATGATATCAAGACCTTCCATAGCAAGTGAGCTGACCTCTTAATGACTTGATTTGAGTCAGGTATTTTTTAAAAGAAAGTGTTCCATGTCTGGAGAGTTTCTGAAAAACAGGTTTTTTAATGCATTCATTTCTCCCACAATTTTGTTTTTAGGTCATTCCTGCCAAAGTTGAACGACTGTGAAACGGATGATGATGTAGCCATGTGCTTCCTGAAGAACAAGGAGGGCTTTGAGAAGTACCTGCAGTATCTCGTTGGTCAGGGTCTAGCTGAATCTGCTATCAGTGACAAGGCTGTTCACCACTTCTTCAAGGTAACACCAGAACTGTTATTGCTCTGCTGTGAGTAATGCAGTGCGTCACAACTTGAGCCCATTACTAGGGCTGGGTGATATGGACAGAAATTCATATCTCGGTATTTACAGGCTGAATGGCGATACACGATATATATCTCGGTATTTTCTCTGAAATGAGCTACATGTTCATTTGCAAGTCAAAGCCACATTTGAGATACAGTATCATAAGTACTTTTATAAAAACAGACTGCGATCAGAATAAAATGCAAAGACAGGGATTTGTTCCTTGTGTGAAAATATACAGCTGCACAACATGTAATTAAAAAACGATGTGAAATAAATATCAGGGCTGCAGGTTAACATTTTTGCACACAGCACTGGAGCTACAAAGGTTTAAAGGTTTGCAGCACAGGACACAAAACTATAACATAAAAGTATCAAGTAGGTTTGAAACAATAAAAATCTTTGTATGGGGAGTTAAAATGTTGTTTTCAATGGCCTCTCTAGAATCTAGTGCTGGAAAATGATTTAAATCTTTTTATTTATTTAGGCTATTAATCTTATTAATGCACAGAGCATCAACAGAGATGCCGAGGGAGGGAAGGAGCGAAACACACTTTGTCTGCATTATATACGTCTTGTACATATGAAACGTCTGTGCTGTCGCTGCATTTTGAAACACATCTGTCGCCTGCATCCAGACGCTGTCTCAATGTCACACATAGGCTACAACTACCAAGAAGAACAGCGATGTGCCATGATCTGCCTCACACACAAACTGGCAAACAAACGCTCACCTGACCAATCAAGCAGCTCTGTCTCATGAAGTGCATCAGTGTATTGCACGTGTGCTACTGTGTGCTACATTCATCTCACAGACTGATTTAGCGTAGCACGTGCAACATACAGACTGATGTCTCACTGTAGACTGATTAACAGACAGATCAAACAGAGGAGCAGCTCTGTGTCTCTCTGAGTGTTGCTGGAAAGCTTGCGAGTGAGTGGGGCAGAGCTGTGCGGAAAGTATGAGGGAGGAGGGATGGACACTGGTATGCATTATGCAATGCAACTTGACCCTATATCGATATAAACAGTGTTGTCTAAATTTATATCTTGCTTAAAATTCATTACACTCTCTAACCCTATATCATGGATTTGTTCTACCGGCCTTTTTAAACATGTGATTTCGCTGTTATTGTGATGCTGTATGCTTGCATTTGCAGCCTTGTAAATACCTCGACATGAGGGTGTATAAGTTTGAAAATCTTCCTTTCCTTACATTGCAGGAGTACACTGAGAAAGTGCAAGCCAGCACAGACCCTTCAGATCCCCCCATACGCAGCATAAACGCCAGCCTCCAACAACCACTGGACAGGATTCAGAAGTACAAGGCCGTGCTGAAGGTGACAGCTTCCACACACAACATGCATGAACTTCCTATGAGATTCAGTTTCCTGCATTACAGGCAGGAGTGGATCATGTACATGTGTAAGGCATTTGGTTTTAGACCCGTATCACTATCACCGCAGTTTTATTGAAGTCTCTCCTCCAACATCTTCAGGAGCTGATTCGAAACAAGGCAAGAAATGGTCAGAACTGCTGCCTATTGGAAGAAGCTTACGCCATGGTGTCTGCACTCCCTCAGCGCTCTGAGAATAGTCACCATGTCTCCATGATCGAGAACTATCCTGCCACACTGGAAGTATTAGGAGAGCCAATCAGACAGGTAGGTGGAGTAACTGTAGCATTCCTCATTATACAGTGATTGCAGGCCCGATTGTGTTTCTTTGATTGTTTATTTATGTTGATTTTTTATTCCTTTTAAAACCAGGGACCCTTCCAAGTGTGGGAAGGGGCTCCAGGGATTAGGACGTCCTCTAGAGGTCACCACCGCCACTGCTTCCTGTTCAAGAACTACTGTATAATCTGCAAACCCAAGAGAGACAGCAACACTGATACACAATCATACGTCTTTAAGAACATGATGAAGGTCAGACTTTTAATATAATCACATCTTTTTTATGTTGAAGACTTCTCTACTGTCATCTTTCCTCATCAGCAGCCTAAATGATGTTTTCTGTGTTCTTCATCCTGCTGCAGTTGAATAACATTGATGTGAATGAGACAGTGGAGGGTGATGACCGTGCCTTTGAGATCTGGCACGAACGCGAGGACTCTGTGAGGAAGTACACCTTGCAGGCCCGAACCGTAACCATCAAGAACTCCTGGCTGAGAGATTTCAGAGAGCTTCAGCAGCGATACAGCATGCCTGCATGGAGTGAGTGAAACACGCACACAGTTTAATTCTCTCTTTTATTACTCACAATGTATTTTGTTATTCTCCAACTTTCATGACCTTACATGATAAATCTCTTTTTGCAGGTCCTCCTGACTTTGATGAAATTCTGGCAAACTGCACAGCAGAGCTGGGACAGACTGTTAAACTGGCCTGCAAAGCCACTGGAGTACCAAAACCTACCATCACCTGGTACAAGGGTACGCCATTTGCACCATATGTTGTAGCCATTTTCTCTACTGTACAGAATGTAGACAAATGGAGAGTAATGTTACTAAACACTGGGTGACAGACTTACTTCTGCATACAAACAGTGTTTAATCAATGTGTTTAATCAATGTACGGTGTCCTTGTTGGATGTAGATGGACGCACTGTGGAGGCAGATCCTCATCACATCATCATAGAGGACCCTGATGGTTCCTGCACACTGATCCTGGATAACATGACTGCAGATGACTCTGGCCAGTACATGTGCTTTGCCACAAGCTCAGCTGGTAATGCCAGCACTCTGGGCAAGATCACTGTTCAGGGTAAGTGGCATTCAGTGTGACAGTGAATGCTATTGTGGAATTAAGTAATCGATTTTTGTGAGGCCAGTTTATTTTAGGGCAGATGCTGTTAGCACCTAGGTGTCCTCATCAAACAATGCTGTTTGCACCCCGGTGTATATTCCTGGGCGTTCTAGCAACATCGAAATATGACATTAACATGGACGGGTCTGTTTATCTATTCTGAGAATATCAGAGATTGGTTAGTACTGGCCATGACCAGGACGTCTTTGCCCTTATCCAGGCACGTCCATGGCCCTCGGGACGATTCTAAACTTCCAAAATATGCTATATGTGGCCTGCCACACAATATTGGTTAATCAAACAAGATCACTTTGTATTTTTTCCTCCCACCTCACACTAGCAGGACTATTATACAGTTGTAAACAGGCATGAAGCAGGCGGAAGTAACACACTCTCATAATCAGATGGTAAATAATCAAGAGGAACAGTGTCCGAACAGTAGTCACTTTTAGGAGTGGTTGAAAGTTACATTTCCACCGTTGTTCTTTGTAAAAAAAAAAAAAAAAAAAAAATTAAATGACCAATTTGATCCAAGAGGCAGCTGGTCCTCAGGTATTTTCACATCTAATCTGGCCGCCATTCAAAAAAGTTTGGACACCTCTGCCCTAATCCTAACAGCTTCTGACCTTGACGAGTCAGTGTGAGGAGAACTAGCCAATCACAGCACATAGTAGGATCCATAATAACGCATTGTAGGGATGGATGTAAATAGCCGAATAGCTGCAGTGTAATTATTCTCACCTTGGTGCAAATAGACACTGTTATTTTAAATAGATATCAGTATTTTAACATGAATTATATTTTGACTTTTTTTCTCGTAGTGCCGCCTCGTTTTGTGAATAAAATGAGGAATGCTGTATTTGTCGCCGGCGAGGACACTCAGTTCACCTGCGTCATACAGAGCGCCCCCCACCCAAAGATCAGGTATGGAATTTGCAGAGCATTTTAAGTAAAGCTTTAAAGTTCTGTTGCTGTGTGTTGAACAGTTTGTTTTTGCTCTAACTGTGTTTATGGTCAAGGTGGTTCAAGGACGGCAGGCTGCTGACTGACCAGGAAAAGTATCAGACCTACAGCGAGCTCCGCAGTGGCGTTCTGGTTCTGGTAATAAAGAACCTGACAGAGAGAGACCTGGGACACTACGAGTGCGAGGTTGGTTGACATTAAAAATCATACTAGAATCACAAACTAATATCTAGTGGCGGGGAAGTGTTTGAGTCAGTTGATATTAATTAGCAACCATAAGTCATCTTCAGGACTCTAAAAATAGATTGTCTGTCTTGGCCAGTTGTCCAACCGTCTGGGCAGCGCCAAGTGTGCTGCTGATTTGGTCCCACCCTCTGCTGTGGCTCGCTCTGGTGAGCAGGCCATCACTATTGAAGGTAGGAACACTGACTTCATGTGTCTTATATAAATGGGACTTTTTTATGCATAGCTTTATTTTGTGTGTTAAATCTCTTGTGCTCTGCTTCCCCCATAGTTACTGAGCAGGAGACAAGAATACCAAAGAAAACCATCATCATGTAAGTGTGAACAGGCTAAAATTATCCTTGTGGCTGAAGCATGTCTGCTGCCTGGTCGGACATCAGATCATCCTCTAGATGATTTCTCTCTGCGTACATGTCCTGATTACTTCAGTAAGAATTACTACTCAGACTAGAAGAAAGAGTTTCTTATGTAACTGTAAGATCATTTGTCAAAGTGAAGAATCTTTAAGGATATTAGTTCTCAGCCTTGTTGTGTAGATTGCTTGCTAAAAGATGATATGGATGTAAAGGCAGTATGGAGCTCGTATGTGTGTATGTGTGTGTGCGTCTGCCTCCACTGCTCACTGTATGCATTGTTGTGTAGTATTTAAAGCCTGAGTGCAAAGGATTCTATCACAGGGATGATGAAAGGATGGGCTGTTTTCACCAGGGTGTCGTCTTCTTTAACCGTCAACTTAATTATTGCAGCTCCTCACACAGAGTTTGTATTTGAATCCAACACATCTTAATGTCACAACACACAATATATATGGTGGCATCTAGGAAGTGCTTACTAGACATCAGACTTTCCTTTCTAGTCAGCTTTTCCTATTTGTGTTGGCTTATGAGTGGCAGTGTCAGCCCACTAGCTTTACACATTGGTGTGAAAGACATGCAGCACATGTCTTTTACTCTGTTAATGCCTGTGTTGTCTCTTTCTCTTAACTCCAGAGAGGAGACTATAACCACTGTGGTGAAGAACCCACGTATGAGGAGGCACAGGTCCCCCGGCTTGACTCTCGCTGGAGCCCAACGCTCGGAGACTTCCACCCCAGAGCCCCCGACAACCAGGCTGAGGAGAATGCCCACTCCAAGGAAGACCGTCCCAACTCTCTATGTTACCGAGCCTCAAGGTGCTGAAGCCAGAGTCGTGGAGACCAAGCCCAGGTGGGTGGAGGTAGAGGAGGTCATCGAGTATAAGGTCAATAAATCTCCCAGGCTGCCCAGGAGGAGAGGCATCTCACCTGCAGGGTCTGATCGCGCAGCCACTCCCTCCAGACCCAAAAGGTCTCCACCGGAGAATCCAAACGCTAACAATTCCAACAATAAGCTGGTGGAGCAGGCTCAGGCCCAGCTGCAGGGAGACGTCAGCAGCCAGCCGCTCTCCTGGGAGGAAGAGGAGGGCAATGTTACCTCTGATTCTGTCGCTGGGGTCGCTGAAGAGCCACAGGAGCTCTCATCTGTCCTCGCTCCGGCTGGAGAGGACAGCGAGGACCTGGATGATGAGCAAACTATCATCTTTGAACCTGATGATGAAGATGATGATCATACCTCACTCGGAAAGCAGGAGCCTAAGATTCTGACACAAGGAGGCCGTGTTCTGACCCTTGAAGACTTGGAGGATTACGTCCCTGAGGAAGGAGAGACCTACGGCTCCTCCAGCGCTCACAACTCCGCTGCAGAAAAGCCCTGTGAAATCTCTGTGCTCCAGAGGGAGATCGGCGGCTCTACAGTGGGACAGCCGGTGCTCCTCAACGTGGGGCGGCCTGTTGTGGTCCCGAGGCAGAGGAGCGGCTTCTTTGGCCGTTTCAGGGAGCATCTTTCCAGCAGCCTTTTCTCATCTGCTGCCCCCCAAGCCAGCGGAGGCCGGTCCAGGACGGAAAGGCACGTCCCCATCCAAGTGAGCCACGCAAAGCTGGAGGTGAAGCCGTCATACTGCTCCGAGGTGCAGAGAGTCGAGGGCGGGCAGCAGAGCTTTAAAACCAAAGTGTCAACTCAGACCTACGGCTACACCTCAGTGGGCAACCCAGTCACTCTTCAAATTAGTGATTATCAGAACCAGTAGTAGCAAAGAGTTTTAATTTGGTACCACTAACCCTCTCAGTCTTAAATGGGGACATTTTTACTTGCATGATAGATAAGACATATCCTGACCTGAAGTTACTGCATTTAACAAACCATTCCATTGTGAAGCTGCCCGTCAGGAAACAGGCTCATCCTCTGAGTCTTTTTCTTGACAAATGGTTAGAGTCAGATGGTCTGTCCAGACGAGACGAGTTGGAAAATGTAGCTATGAATATGTCACTGTGAGCACGTTTCAGTCTCAAACTGCTCCGTTACACCTGTTGTGTGTTGTACAAAACACACAGCGGACAGAAACCAAGAAATTTGACATTTTACGAAACAGTTTCATCACGTTTCACTTAAACACGCCTTCACATAATCATGAACCTTTGAGCTAACTGATCCAGGCATTATCCTTAGCGATGACTCCTGCTATATACGCAAACAAATAGTTATACAGTATATTTAGGTATATATATTTTTTCAGTTTTACTTTTGTACCTTTCAAAGAATGTTACCTTTTGCACTTTTCAGTGCCTTAGATTCCTGGAGCAACACATGCTGGAGTTAATGACTATTAGTGAGGTCATGTCTACATGTTTCTAGTTCAGTATTGCTATAAGTTAATTTAAATATGCAACACTGATGATGTAAAAATGAACAACAGAACTTTGGTGACTGTTGTAGTCCATGGGCTGTTGTTTAATTAAAGATGTGTGGTCAAATTGTAGTCAGTTTGGCAAAATCACATATAAGGTCTCTACTACTACTTTTGTTTGTGAATGATTTGTTGATGAGCATCTTACACAAGTATGGCTTTTCTACAAGCTGATCATTTGCAAGGTGAACGTGTTTCACATCAGATCTCTGTGTTTGACTGCATTTATGCCATTTATTATCGTGAAACATGTTTCTACTATGAATTGAATAAAACATGCAGCTTTTTAGACATTTTTGTGTCTGTTAATGCAGTACAATCACCTGTCATTTTGCAGGATATCACAGGGACAGTCATATGTAAGTGATAGATATTTAGAGTGAGTGACTGCATGTATTTGCTTTTCCAAAGCCAATGTGTTTACCCAGAGTATCCAGATCTGTAATGTTGTATTTGATTGCAAGGAAATGTTTGTGCAAAGTACTTGAGCTCCCAGAATGTACTACCTTCTCAGTTTAAAAAGTCACTAGAATACAATAACTGCCTCCTTAAAGAGTTGTGGTGTTTGTGTTGTTTTTAAAGGTCTTTTAGTCAGTTACAAGGATCATGTTATGTATTAATATTAAAGCACTAACAGATTATAATTGCTTGTACTGTACATGTGTCGTTTTTGGAAACTTGTTTGAGTACACAGTGTTAATAAATAGATGTACTGCAAACAATGACTGTGGCCAGTGTCTTTCACAATTCTTATTTATAGCACACATGCAAAAAATGATATTGTTACATATTTAAGTTTTAAGTATTTTACTATTTTCAAGTATTTACTAAGTATTTTTACAACATACTGTACTATGACATTTTTATCATTTTTAAAACGACATACTATGACATTTTATCATTTTTAAATCGAGATACTGTACTATGACATTTTTTATCATTTTTGAAATGACATACTATACTATGACATTTTTATCATTTTTGGAACGACAAACTATACTATGACGTTTTTATGATTTTTAAATCAACATACTATACTATGACATTTATATGGTTATTGAAACGACACTGACATTTTTATCATTTTTGAAACGACATACTATACAATGACATTTTTATCATTTTTGAAACGACATACTATACTATGATATTTTATCATTTTTAAATCGAGATACTATACTATGACATTTTTTATCATTTTTGAATTGACATACTATACAATGACATTTTTATCATTTTTGGAACGACATACTATACTATGACATTTTTATCATTTTTGGAACGACAAACTATACTATGACATTTTTATGATTTTTAAATCGACGTACTATACTATGACATTTATATGGTTATTGAAACGACACTGACATTTTTATCATTTTTGAAACGACATACTATACTATGACATTTTTATGATTTTTAAATCGACATACTATACTATGACATTTTTATCATTTCTGGAACGACATAATATACTATGACATTTTTATGATTTTTAGAACGACGTACTATACTATGACATTTTTTATCATATTTGAAATGACATACTATACTATGACATTTTTATCATTTTTGGAACGACAAACTATACTATGACATTTTTATGATTTTTAAATCGACGTACTATACTATGACATTTATATGGTTATTGAAACGACACTGACATTTTTATCATTTTTGAAACGACATACTATACTATGACATTTTTATGATTTTTAAATCGACATACTATACTATGACATTTTTATCATTTCTGGAACGACATAATATACTATGACAATTTTATGATTTTTAAATCAACATACTATACTATGACATTTTCATGATTTTTAAATCGACATACTATACTATGACATTTTTATCATTTTTGGAATGACATACTATATTATGACATTTTTATGATTTTTGAAACGACATACTATATTATGACATTTTTATCATTTTTGGAACGACATACTATACTATGACATTTTTATGATTTTTAAATCAACATACTATACTATGACATTTTTATCATTTTTGAAACGACATACTATACAATGACATTTTTATGATTTTGGAACGACATCGTATACTATGACATTTTTATGATTTTTGGAACGACACACTATACTATGACATTTTTATCATTTTTGGAACGACATACTATACTATGACATTTTTAGGATTTTAAAAATACATACGATTCTATGACATTTTTATCATTTTTGGAACGACATACTATACTATGACATTTTTATGATTTTTAAATCAACATACTATACTATGACATTTTTATCATTTTTGAAACGACATACTATACAATGACATTTTTATGATTTTGGAACGACATCGTATACTATGACATTTTTATGATTTTTGGAACGACACACTATACTATGACATTTTTATCATTTTTGGAACGACATACTATACTATGACATTTTTATCATTTTTGGGACGACATATGACATTTTTATCATTTTTAAACGACATACTATGACATTTTTATCATTTTCAAAACGACATATTGTACTATGACATTTTATCATTTTTAAATCGAGATACTATACTATGACATTTTTATCATTTTTGAAATGACATACTATACTATGACATTTTTATCATTTTTGAAATGACATACTATACTATGACATTTTTATCATTTTTGGAATGACAAACTGTACTATGACATTATTATGATTTTTAAATTGACATACTATACTATGACATTTATATGGTTATTGAAATGACACTGACATTTTTATCATTTTTGAAACGACATACTATACTGACATTTTTATCATTTTTGAAACGACACACTATGATATTTTCATGATTTTTAAAACGACATACTATACTATGACATTTTTATCATTTTTGAAACGACATACTATACTATATTTTCATGATTTTTAAAACGATATACTATACTATGACATTTTTATCATTTTTGGAATGACATAATATACTATGATATTTTCATGATTTTTAAAACGACATACTATACTATGACATTTTTATGATTTTTGGAACGACATACTATACTATGACATTTTTATGATTTTTAAATCGACATAATATACTATGACATTTTCATGATTTTTAAATCGACATACTATACTATGACATTTTTATGGTCCTTTAAACAACATATTATACTGTGACATTTTTTATGACATACAATAACATTACATTTTTAAGATTTTTTTAAAATGTCATACTATACTATGCCATAGATTGGACTTATGTCTTTTTTTCATGACTTACTACTATGGCATTTTCATGATTTGTTTAAAACAACATATACAGTGACATTTTTATGTGTTTAAAGCACATACTATTTTATGACATTTTTATGATTATTTAAAACAACATAGTATACTGACCTTTTTTAATTGTTTTATGGCATACTATACAATCAAAGTCAAACACTTGCACTTTACCTCCATCTTTACTGAGACAAATCAAAGAATAAATCAGTGAGCCTTAGATGTCCTTACTTGAAGATGTAAGTTTATTACAACACAGGTCAGAGAAGATCGTGGTACAACATGTATGCATAGACACAGATATACCAAAAACTGCCTCTCAAAATATCAACCCAGGACCATGGAAACAATGCAGAAATCATACAACCTTTATGTCTTACACCAGGGTATCTAAAGTTTGGATTACTGAATGCCAAATAAGGGAGCCAGCATATGATTGAAGGCCGCACAGGAAAAGGCACACTTAAACAAAACATCTGTCCACTAAACTTGCTAACCAAATAGCCTAGTAGTGCATTAAATGTAAGCTACTGAAAGTGAGTAATGAAATGGACCACAGATAATAGAAATATAATGCATGTATTGCATGTCACATTCAGGGGCTGGCCAAAATGTTTCTGTGGGCCAGTTGCCCACAGGCTGCACTCTGAGAAACTATATGTAAACCATCTTTTTGGTGACATCTTAATTATCATTATTAAAACTCTGATTATTAATGATAGATTTATGGCGCTCATATTGAAACAGTCTTTACAAGTTGCTTCACGATTTAGGATAAAATCAGAACTGGGAAACAATGGTTCAAAATTCAATAAAAAGAATGATAATTCATCACTCAAATCTTTTTTTTTTTTAAATTACATGTATAAACATCTTTAAGTGAAATTTTATAGAAGGCCTTGTAGACTGCAAAAATGGCTGATCATCAATTTTGGCAAGCCTAAATAAGCAAGATTAAATCTCTCACGCAGCTAAAACCATGTTACACCTTGTCTTAAGTATGCATGAGATGCGTACACCCTCAACACATATTCTATCTTTAGAAATACCATTCTATGTATGTGAAGCAGTGGATGCATGGTTATTGTTTGCAAGCATGGTTTAAACATCTGGTCCCTGGTTTCTATCATGCATTAACGTGCACATGCCATGATGGATATTTGTTCAGAGGGACCTCCTAAATGACATCGGCCCCCTGAAGCTCACCAAAGTTTAATGTATTACATTTTATCAAAGCTTATTGGTCAAATTACTGGTTATACAAGTACATGTTATCAAATTTTTGTCCTCCAATTCATTTAATTGTGCCATCACGTACATAAAAAAAAATAAAGAATCTATGTACAGTAGCCCAATAACAAAGAGTTCAAGTGTGTGTGTGTGTTATAGGGAACAATATTGTGTTTGCACTCAATTCATTCTCTTGTGCTTTGTTCCCACCCTGTCTATCTGAATAATGTTGCATTCATACACTGGTCCAAGGAGTTTATCTTACAATCAATGTATAGTAAACGTAAGTTTAAGTGTGTTGCTGATGTGACCTGTAAAAACTTGCAGTGGCGATACAGTCTTAAAATGTAGGGAAAGGGTATTAAATTTAAGTTGAAAATTTAAGTCCTGCGTATCCCTCATAAATATTCACTGTTTTCAAGTAAAACGAAATTTGCAATATATTAAAAAAAAAAGAAAAATTCTTATTAATTTTCCTTTAAATTTAAAAACCTCTTCTTTAGTAAGGAATCAAAAGAGTCCACTGAATGTCATTTTACTGTACAGGCGAAGCTGCAAAATGATACACAATATAAACGTACAAATTTACAATTGTAAAATAAACAGATTGTTCTGTCATGGAGCCCAAAAGGTAAATAAAAAAAGCTTTATTCTAAGAGCCATTAGATGCACTTGTGTTTTTTGTTCTAAATAACATTTCCTACCTCTACGATGGGATTTAATCCTACTGGAGCACAACAGCAAACCAATCAAGCTATCAAACTATAATGGAGTTCTGTGGCATTTTACACAGAATCTTTAAAGGAAAAGCATTCACCAGCACTGGAATAGCTAACAGTAAAATGACTTGCATGAACCCCTCAAAAGTAAACAGCCACCATGTTTTTTCATCCCAGAAATGAGATGAAATGCTGAAGTTTCAGATAAGTTTTCCCCCCGAACTGAACTTGTGCAGATACCTCTCTGTGAGTCTCCTCATCAACACAATATGACTGGTGGCACAAAAAGAGTCGCATAACTCATTGCCACTCATCATGAAAACGAGAAACAAGCTTTGTCTCCACCTTTGCTTGAAAGACCAGTATATCCACATGAGTAATGCTACTCCCTGTTTGTGTAAGTCAAGGTTGGTGACAGGACGAAGCTGCGAGCAGTAGTATATCTGTGTTTAGTAAACCCTATGCAAGAGAGCATCGTGCATACCATGCCCGTCACATATCAAGAAAGCATTACTGGAGTCTTCATACAAATGAAAATAAAAACATGGAAAGCACAATAAAAAATAAGTTACACCTTAGAGTGTAATATCATTGTTAATAACTATCTCTAAGCACCATATAAAACCTACATATCTGTGTATCCACTACGGGGATGTTTGTCTGAGTTCACAGACCGCCATCTGAGGGAATGTTCATGGCTGGAATGGAGGCCTGTGTTTCTGTAAGGAGTGGCTGGATGGGACCCAAAGGAGTCAGGGTGCTGTTGTCTCCTATGAAGACATGTTGACTTTCTTGACCACATTAATTTCCTGGAGAAGAAAAAAAAAAATCTTATTATGCTCCCAAAACAGGTAAGTAACGTTGGTCAGGAAATACAGACAAATCTACAACAATGGACTAAGAAACTTAAAGTGAGACTGCACAGATCAGAAAAACATGATGTTTAATCAGTTCTTCACACTTTTGCCTTTTTTGGTTTTGTTTGTTGACGATAACTCCAGGGTAGGAAACCCCTGCATCATGTAAATAAAATCAAATGGCGCTGAGCAAACGGAGGAGCATGTAAAAATTAGTTAAAGTGTACTTTACATTAAGAATGTTTTCACAGCTTTACCTTGCCGTCAGACAGCACCTTCTGACGGGGAACTAAAGCCGTTATCTCAAAGCACACAGACACCACTGACAAAAGCAGTATTTTTACTTCCCAGAACAAGGGAGTTGCAGGTTTACCACGGCCTCGTTTAGTTAGTAGCGGTGTAACGATCCATCGATCTAGGTCGATATATAACTTCAATGATCAACAATCCAATATCATTCATGCAAAGTGAAAACATTGATCCATATTGTCATCTTTGGGATACGCTTTTATTTTGGAAATCTGTGTCACCGTCAAGCAGCAGCAGGCAGATGGCAAGCAGCTCAGAGAAAGACCATGAGGATAAAAATAGTAATAAAATAGTATTGTAACATGTAATCTGTTAAACTGCGAGTAGAGGAAAAAGTCCACTAGCTGCTATGCTAACTTTTGCAATGTGAACACGCTTAAGCTAATAATGTGTGACTAGCAAAAGTTGTTCTGTCTATGAACTTTGACAGTACTAAGCTGAATTTGATGCTTTTGTAAAAATTATGTAAATCTATGTTTTATGGCAGTTGAGGGAAGTTTGTCTTCGGGGTCATGGTTTGGGTTAAAGAGAAAAGATTTCTTCCAGAGGCTAACTTATCCTGTGTGTGTGCCGTTTTATGTGTGTTAGTGGAGTCAGTTTGAAGTAAACTTTTTCTGCACTTACGCAGTCACAATTATTTACATTATTTATGTGTTGTTTTGATGTTTTATGGCCAAAAGTGAATGGGCAGATAATAACATCTCATGTCAAATTCAAATGATCCAGTTGGTCAAAATCGGGTAAAAATTTCGGACATGTTTGTCGTGGCAAGTCAAAACACTCACTCAGAGAGTGAAAGTCTGGCTCTGAAATCTCACGTCTCGCGAGATTTGAGTTGTTGCAGGAAGTTACAGCTGGAGTGACCTTACAAACGTGAGGAGTTACTCTGTTTGGAGTAGTCATGACTGAATTTTTACCTGATTTTGACCAACTGGATCTGGATGAGCCATTTGAATTTGATGACCACCCGTATTTATTTGAACACGGAGTACACAGACGCAGAGCTCATTGAAAGTGAAGAGTGGACAAGGAGAGAGAGAGAGCAGCAACAGGCAGAGGAACATGTCTGAATCCAGCTAAAGGTAAACACAGACGTTCATTTCTCCTTTCCGTTATGTCGTCGGATAATTATACTATCAATCCGAGCCTATCTGTATGAAATAAATGCACTTTTAGTGGACGTATTTTGACGTTGTTTGACGCGGTCTGAGTGCCATTTAACCCCATTTTCTTCTTCAAAAAGTCACTTAAACTGAATCTAATGTAAAATTATTATCATTCAGTGTGTATGTGTATTGAAAATGTATATGCTCAACTCAACACATCAGAACAGTGTTTTAATGTGTGTAATGTCATAGACTGTGTTGTACAGTGACAGCTCACCTCAAGAAGAGCATGTTTTAACTGCCCATAAGCATCCTCCAAATTATCATTGACGATCTGGACATCGAACATACCAGGTTCTTTACCTAGAAGGAGATACAATTAGGTTCAGGGTCATGTTTTTAAGGGTTATGTGGTTCCATTTTGCAAACAACAAATACTTACTTAACTCCATGTCCACTGTCGCTATCTGTAAACGCCTCTGAAGACTCTCTTCTGACTCGGTTTTTCTATGTCTTAAGCGATTTTCCTGAGGCAACACAGAAAAGCGGAGATATTCACAGAGAATCCAAAACCTGTATGACCACTGCGGTACAAAGCAAACTCCAGAGGAGTATTCCAGAAAGCGGGTTTAGTGAAAACTCTGAGTATGTTAACCCTGAAATGAGGGAAACTCTGGGTTTTCAGTTCCAGAAAGAGAGGTAAGTCAAACTCTGAGTCTGTGAACCTAACCTGCTCGCTGGCAGGTTTTCTTTAAGAAACCCTGAGTTCACCCTGTTTCCTCCCTACTGCCGAGCCTGAAGCAAGCTGGCAGACACACATGGGTTGTCCGTATGTAGGAAATCCCATCCATCGGTCTTTTGGGTATGATAGTTTTCGAAGGATTCAAATTTCAAATAAGTCATCAACCATCTATATGCTTAAAATAGCTGCTGAAATTAGCAAGGATTCTTTTTTAATATTTTTTTGGGGGTGCATTTTGCCTTAAATTGACAGGACAGTTAAGCGTGAAAGGGGGAGAGAGACAGAGGGAGTGACATGCAGCAAGGTGCCACAGGCCGGAGTCAAACCCGGGCCGCTGCGGCAAAAGCCATACGGGACGCCTGCTCTATCCACTGAGCCACCGTCATCCCTTTGAAGGAGATCCTGCTTGCTAAATTTCACATGCCGCCTCTCTCTCCTTGGCAGCTTTAGCGGTGTTACTTTTTTTTTTATGAAATATATGCTCATATTCGCTGTAGGCATTCATGAGCACCTCCAAGTCCACAGGTGTGAAATAAGTTGATCGCTTTTTCTCTCCAGTTGCCATGGTGACTCGAGGTATCAGGGCTCCACTGATGATGGCTTTTTATTGTGGTTGTGCACGTGCTTAACTCAAGGTCTACCTACTCAGAGTTGACTGAACTAATTAGAATCAGCTGTTCTGGAACCAGATACTCAGAGTTTCCCAGCTCAGGGTAAATCAACTCAGAGTTCAGGATTAGACTCAGAGTTTGTTGAACCTCCTACCTGGAATACCCCTCAGGTCACACCCAGAAACTGACCTATAGAACCTCTATCGACTCAGTGAAATGCATTTCTTTTCTGTGCTTACCAGGACATCTATGGATGGTGGCTGGATGGAGATGTAGAGGGGATTGAGATCTGTCCTCTTGATGTTCTTCACACCCTGCATGTCAATGTCAAGTATACAGATGAGGTTCTTGGCCTGCACGGCTTGCACGGCAGCTTTACTCGTCCCGTACATGTTCCCCGAGAACTCTGCGCTCTCAATGAATTCGCCGTTGTTGATCCCTGCCTGCATCGCCTCTCGTGTGACGAAATGGTAATCTGAAACCCCAAAAAGAAGATGATAGATAAATAAAGCTGCAATACGACTGATGTTTGTTACAGTGGTCATAAAAGAGGAAGAACGTGTTGTACCTTTGCCATCCTGTTCTCCAGGTCGAGGAGTTCTTGTTGTATCTGAGTTGAGAAAACATTTATGTCACAGTCTGAACTGAAACACTAAATCGATATACTGAGACTACAGGAAACACAACTAGAAAGAAAATGGGAAAAATTGACTCCATATAAGACTCAAAAAGATGACACTGGACTGGAATAATAATCACTGTAAAAATGTGTATATACCCAAACAGTTTTTGTTTCGTTATTTTTCTATTATTTTATTATGCTGTTGTAACCAACATGTCAATGTTACAAAAATTGTTTTAACAAAGGAACACTGAATCAAATCTATTGTTTGATCAACAGGAAGTCCATCTGGGTGCTTGTTTGTAAACCATTTATTTCCCACCTATCCTCTCTCAGTGCAGCTGGGATTACCCCAAGTCTGCCACTGGCCCCTTTCCTCAGTATTGTTCAAGTTATTTATGTACATTTCCTTCTTTCTTTTAATTAGTATAATTGCTCCCTTTCTCCTTATATTCACTATCATTGGGTTTTTATTTCCCAACTCCTTTTTTTGGGGTTAAACAATAAAGTTAAACAAGCCTTGGTAGTAGTAAAAAAAAGTGGAAATAGAATTTCTAGTACAAAAATGTAGAAAATATTCAGCAAGTCAAAATTCAAGTTTGTCATACATGTATAGAAAAAGACACAAATTTGTAAAATATAATATTACAAGGAAAGCATATCGTTCTATTTATTGTTCTTTTTAAAACAATAAAAAATAAAATAAATAGATAAATACTTAGATTAGATATTATATAGATTATATTAGATTGACCATGTTTTGTGTCATTTAAACTAGGCTAGGTAGGGGAAGAACTTAATAAGAACTAACGTGCATCTTTCTTAAAGTGGTCTGTAAAGGGTTGCCAGATCTGGTATTACTTGGTTTCACACCCTCTTAAGGAGAATTTAATCTTTTCCAAATGCAGGTGGTGCATCACTTCCTTCACGGGGGCAGAATGTGCAGGAGCCCATCTTTCTTATGATTGCTATTATTACTTTTCCCTGATATTGGTATTTTGTAATGATTAATTACCCAAACTAACATATTTTTTACAACTGCCATAGATGATACTGTAGTTGTTGTTTGGTTGTGATAGAGTTGTGTCAAAAAAATAAAATAATTCAGGGCTGTAACTTACGGAAGCGTATTGCATTCACTTGACAAATAAAAAAGCCCTGTTTTTCTGAGTAATTTTTTCTGTTTTTCAGAGTAATTTATTTATTTTTCTGTTTTTCTCAGTAATTTTTTTTTCTTTTTTTTTTTTGCAGTAATATTTTCTGTTTTTCTCAGTAATTTTTTTTCCTGAACGAGGAGACGATATACTTCAAAATCTTGTGAGAAGCTCCCACCTGGCACCTGCAAGTGACCCCTGCATCCATGGTGACTCCTGCTCATGGATGTATTTTGCATCCGTGCTCCTGCTCCTAGACAATTTCAACTACGGGATCAATAAGGGTAAGGCATGTAATTAGCTACACACAGGGTATCATAATCTAGCTATGTTTTCGACTGCATCCTTCTAATGTAGGCCTATCGCTCAATGTAACAGGTTTGGTTAGTAACAGGTTGTAAAATCATGCCCATACACGTTTGTCAACCTAACCTGTTACACTGAGCGATAGGCCTACACCAGAAGGATGCAGTCAAAAACATAGCTAGATTATGATGCCCTGTGTGTAACTAATTACGTGCCTTACCCTTATTGACCCCGTAGTTGAAATTGTCTAGGAGCAGGAGCACGGATGCAAAATACATCCATGAGCAGGAGTCACCATGGATGCAGGGGTCACTTGCAGGTGCCAGGTGGGAGCTTCTCGTGAGATTTTGAAGTATATCGTATCCTCGTTCAGGAAAAAAAATTACCATGAAAAACAGAAAAAAAATACCACAAAAAACCCCAGAAAAAAATACCCCGAAAAACAGAAAAAATTACCATGAAAAAAAGGGAAAAATTACTCAGAAAAACAGAAAAAATTACACCAAAAAACAGAAAAAGAAATAAATTACTCCGAAAAACAGAAAAAAATTACTCAGAAAAACAGGGCTTGTGAATGCAATACGCTTCCGTAGCAACTAATACTTATTTTCACCGTTGATTAATCTGTCATTTACTTTTTTGATCAACCAATTAATCTCTTGGTCCATAAAATGTGAAAATAATGTTAAGAAAATGAGAAAATAATTAATCAATCAATAATGAAAATGATCATCAGCTGCAGCACTATTTGAATAAAACAATAACATTTGCTTGTATGTGTGACATTAATTACACCTCCACATATACTGTGACTATAATGATCAATGACAAGCCCAACAGTTGGTGAGAACACCATCAAGACTGGTACAGAGAGGCACACTTACGGGAGACGCTGAAGCCAAACACACTGTCATATTCTTGCATTAGCTTCTTCAGCAGAGTGCTCTTTCCCGCCCCGGATGGGCCGCTGAGCACCACAGGCCTGGGTCCAGCCATAGCTGAGGGAGAGGCGGAGAGGAGAGTTCAGTATAGGAAACAAGCGGGCGAGGCTGGAGGATGGCAACCCACTGAAATCTTATGGCATGAGTCACTATAGGACCAAATCTGTCTGTGATTACAGTGAGTTTAAGTGCTCAGACAGGCCTCACCCTAATGGGACAAACACGATAAAATGATAAGCCAGCGGTTCTTAAAAGGAGGAACAAATGATGAGACCAAAACATCTCCCACAAGAGCGAAGGCAATCACAACAGGTTGGCAAGCTGGAAGGTTACCATGGTGCAGGGACAATTACACACTAATTGGAGAGCCCTAGTCTGCTTGAGATGTGGAAAAAGACAGAGGAGCCACAAGAGGCTAAGAGTAAAAACTGCTTTTAATAGAGACACAGGCTTGAACTGTAGTAAATGACCGCTTAAAACTCCTTTTAACTAAATTATGCAGCAAACCAATCACTGACAAACCTATGAGCACACTTGAACTACACATCTTTGCAAAACAGCTCCTTCAACATCTCACCTTCTCCACACTGATCTATTCTTTCACTACCAAAATTTCTTAAGCAAGCTACTAAAGCAAAGAATAAAGTAAAGCCTGTAGTGATCCTTCTTACCCTTCCTCAATACACAAAGGGCTCAAGCAGACAGGAAGTTCAAGTGAACAGGGAGGGTGTGTGTGTATGTGTGCAAATAGACTGCGTACGAGTGTAGGAGGGAGGAGAGAAAAAGAGAGGGCAGGGCCGTGTTTACAGAGCCTCACATTTTGCTTTTTTTTTTTTATTGTTGTATTTTCGACACAACCTGCAGATACACATGAACCAACTAATAACATCATACTTCATAAAACACAGTTCTACTGTTGTGACAAAGACAGTCACAGGCATAAAGAAGTATTACAACATCTACAGGTGAGGAAAGCAATGCAGTATAACAGAAAGTCGGCTGGTTGTCAGTAACAACTGTTAAAACAGGTAACAGCAACAGCTCTGCTGATGTGCAACTAAAAGAAAGACAATGGATAGTTAATATCAATCATTACTGTTACTGGTAATAAGACTATTACAGTTGGTGGGCATCTCTGGGTCTGCCTTGGATTGGTTTTCATCCTATCATACTGATAGGAGTTTTTCAGTTACTGTTGGTCAGTTCACGTCAGACACAGCGCCTTTGTCATGCGGCGTCCCTCAGGGTTCTGCTCTGGGTCCCATGTTATTTTCATTATATACGCTGCCTCTTGGACATATTATTAGTCGGTTCAGCGACATCTCTTACTATTTTTATGCAGATGACATTCAGCTGTATTGTTCTTTTACCACTGATGAAATTGGCCAGCTGGACATCTTAAATGAATGTTTGGATGCCATTAAAAGCTGGATGTCTGACAACTACCTCCAATTTAACACCAAAAAGACTGAAGCTCTTATAGTTGCCCCTGAACACTCTATCCCTATTATCAAGCAGTCTATGGGGCCTTTAGGTGTTCATGCTCAGCAAAACATTTAAAATTTGGGCGTCATTTTTGACCAATCCCTGTCCCTAGACAAACATGTCAGCCAACTTATCAGCTCTTGTTTTTTCCAATTGAGGAACATAGCGAAATTAAGATCTGTGGTGACCAATGCTGAGATGGAGAAGATTATTCATGCTTTTCAAGCTGTTGCTCCTAACCTATGGAATGCTCTCCCCTATTCTCTATGATCCATAGATTCTTGTATTACTTTTAGGAAACAGCTGAAAACATTTTTATTCAGACAGGCCTTTGGCAAAACAATCTGTTTAACTGTTTTGTTTTTTACTTCCTTTTATTGCCTCTTTTGGGTTTGTTTCTTTTGTTATCATTTTTATACTTGCCTGTTGATCTTGAAATTTATATTGTATGATTGTTATTACTATTTTTAATTTTTTACTTTTAATCTGTGTTCTTGCTTTTAATGTGAAGCACTTTGTGGTTTTGTTTCTGTAAAAGGTGCTATATAAATAAACTTTACTTACCTACTTACTTACTTACATAAATGTCAGGTATCAGACAGGTTGGCAATTAGTCCAAATATTACTTATTCCATGTGATATGCAATTTATTGACCTAAGAACAAAAGTAAACTGTGCTCTGAGATCTCTTAGGGGGCCAAGAATCAAATCACAGCATTACCAGCCGTCTTGTTTCCAAGCAAACAGACGCAGCGAGATGGTCTTTGCAGGTGCAAATGACAAGAGTCATTCTCTATTGCCTCTTGAATGCTTCCCATAAATGGAAACAGGGCTAATTGAAGGTGAAGGAGTTCCCTTTTCAGAGGCCAGTTAAGAAACCTCATTATTTTTAACGTCCTGTCTTCAAACAATTATCAACCCCGGCCCGAACCCTCCACCATGGCATCTTTAAAAGTCATCCATGGATCTGTTTAGGCTATTTGTACTGGCTTCCTGTTCTCAAATACAAACAATCAGGGTTGCAATCAATTATTATTTTAATTACTGATTATTTATTTCGCAAGAGAGACGAGGGGACATCAGATTTCACCTTGAATAACGTGACAGGTGGCAATAACATCAGCCATAATAGCTAGAAAAATAATACTCTGCAAGATGGACAAGCTGTTACTTACAGTTTTCAGGCCATTTGCCAGTTTCATTTGGCATATCTGACATTCAACTTTTTGGGAATCATCTTTGTAAATTTTGAATCTATTCCACATTTATCTTTATAGACATCAAGCTAGTGAATCTCTAGTGGTCAAACTGTTGTAATCACAAAATTAGACCCATCACTAAGTTATAATGTTGTTGTCTGAGAATAACTGATGGTTAATGTTGATGCATAATGAATTATGTTAGATAATTATCATTTAATGTATGGGCTTTTGGGGATTTTTGGGGTAATGGTATAGAAAACAGAGCATTCAGATACTGACTTGGCCACGGATTACCACGGCAGCACTTAAAGCTTCGAAGCTTTGAAGTAAGTTCGGAAAATTACATCACTTTACTGTAATGCAGCCTTTAAAAGCAGGGAAACACTTACAATATTGCGATATCCAAAAGCTAAGACAATATCTAATCTCATGTCACACTATCGATTTCATAGATATATTAGCCACCCTTAATATAGAGTACTTATGTTGTACAACTACTATAAATGTTAGTAAACAAAACAAATCTTTAAAAAGTCTTGTAAGTTTGCTTGTTAATAAATTACCATGATTGAACACGGCAAATTTATTCATGAACTTAATCAGTCAATCCTGATTTACAAAATGTTGTCCTTATAAAGTAAAAGTAAATATTTACTATTTGCAACTTTAAATGTAAAGAGTTTTGTTTTTTATTTACTAATGCTACCTATAATTGTCTAATTATTTTGATTCTGTTGCTGCCAGTCAGATTAAATATGCTGTTTTAATTAATTACTTAATAAATAGACCACTTATCGTAATTTGTGACGTTTACAGACAACAACAGTAAGAAAAAAAAAAGGACACTTTTCAATCTAATGTACTGACAAAGCTTCTGAAACTTGCAGCGACATATACTCCAGCATCCACTCAAGAATCAACCATTTGTACTTGACAAATAGCTGCACGTCAGGAAATGAGAGGCATGTCAGTTAATAATCAGCACGGGCTGACACTCATTAAAACCTGCACTGTGCTTGACTTCAATCATGTGCACGTAACCCCATGTGATTAGTATTTGCGTGAAGCCAAATTTAAATCATGTGAAATCTATCAGGTGGCTGTAGTTTGCTATAGTGTTCTGTATGAGAGCTGAACAAAAAGATGAATTAGTCAATCAACAAATTAACAACTACTTTTCAAGCAAAAAATGTCTCGCTTCTCAACCGTGATGATTTAATGCTCCCCTTTTTGTCTTATATGTTGCTTTATATGATAACATCTTTGGGTTGAACTACTGGCTGGACAATGTAAGCAATATGAATATGTCACCCTGGGCTCTGGGAAGTTGTGACGGGAAGCTTTCATGATTTTCTGCCAAAATAATTTGTCCACTCACAGAAAAAGTTAAAAGATACATCAGTAATGAAAATAATTATTTGTTGCAGCCCTAGAATATACATGGTGCAGTCTGTAAACAACAGTAGTGTTAGTTCAGTTTACCCTGAAACAGAGGTGATTTGTGGATTATGTGGGCACATGTTCAACCACTTTTATTTCTTATTCTGTCTAATGCTGTGATCTCTCCCTCCGGCTATTTGTTTATCCTTTGTCAATCCAGATGTAGCAAACAAAAACCTGTAGAGTTGCACTTTTAATGCTCTGTTATTATATAGACATGTGTTTACAGTCTTGTGCCAGAATTATCTAGCAGATAAAAAACAACTAACTCAGGCAATTCAAAGTGCACTTTGACTCAGTGCTATAATGCAGTTATGACTAGCAGTGAAATTCTGAATTGACGTTTTTAGGGTGATAAATGCAAACTAGAGAAGCAAGTAAATTCTTTGTGCATTAATGCTGCTGGGCAGGAGTTTGTGGATACTTTCTTAACATGAAAGTGAGTTTTGAGGCCATGTTAAAGATGCAGGAGTAAATGCGGACACTAAAAACAGCTCTGCATGCTGGTTTATTACATAAACTGTCTATATAATGAGCACATGCACGTTTGATGAGTAGGCAACACTGATCGTTTTGAAACAAAGTCTGCACAGGTAAGTTATCACTGATGGCTCACATCTACAAGGACACATTAAAGGATGATTACACGTAAGGTAAGGTTGCATCAGCTACACTTAAAGTCTGCTCAGTAAACACACAACAACCATCTTCTCACCCTGCAACAACGCAGAAGAAACACCGTCTCCCCACACACTGGGGGGAATGAATGGCAGTGTTATCTACAGTGATAACGGCAGACAACACAACTGTAAACAGCACACAGACCGTCATCCTCCCTCCTACCTGACAACAGCCTGGAAAAATATCTCATGAACATCAGGAGTTACGTTAGTCCAAGATTGTGGGTCCGTCTCCGGATGATTTTCTCCCACCTCTGCTCTGTATCTTTGATGTGAGAGCCATTAAAGGAAAATGTGCCGCCTACGTCATCGCTGCGGGCCACAACATCGTCACGTTACGTTCGCGAGCGTCGGGAATTTGCGCGACAAAACACAGAAACGTGAAGTTTTACTATTATTAGCCAAAGACAGTAGACGCCAGGCAGCCATTTTAAATATATGTACGTAACTCACAGGTAGCTGCGGTTTCGTCCTTAAAAGAGAGGCGTATGTGCGCATTCGTAACACTGTCGCTTTGTTTTTAGGCGGCAAGGTAACGTTAGCTGTATAGCATAGCCTAGCTTAAACTGAACGTCGTTTATTTCCAACTGCTCCTTCTATGCTCTGTGTATATTACAGGAAAAAGGCTGCTATATTATTACCGGGCCCGTTACAAGGGTGAGAGTCAACACTACCAGGAGGAAACACGATGTTCCGATCGACACGACGAGATTAAACTTATCGCAGAAACTACCCGGATGAATGAACGCTGAAGGCCTCAGTGTGCTCGTGTGCAAATGTGGCTAAAGTCAGCCGGTTGAGCTAACGGGACACTGACGCCGCTCCAAAGTCAAAATGTTTGGTTCCTCGAGGTCTGGAGGGGTCCGGGGAGGCCAGGACCAGTTCAACTGGGACGACGTGAAAGTCGATAAACACAGAGAAAACTATCTGGGTAAGTTTTTAAAAGAAAACTGGCAGTGAAGTCCGCTGTTAGCGCTAGCCACACACACCGCTGTTTGCTAACTTGAAGCTAACAGAGCAGGACTTTTAAAATCACAGTTTAACTACAGCTACACACCTCTGCCTCGGTCCTACACGTGCTGCTCGTCCATACCTTTTGTTTTAGAGTCCCTCATTACACAGTGTCGGGCTGCTCGGTCCTCTTTTCACTCTGCAGCCAGCAGGTCCTGGTGTTCATTGCTCCCTCTATCTGAGCAGACACACGTAGCCTCACAGCTATCTGAGCCCGCACCGCTGGCAACAGGTCAGCTCGCCACACAAGAGCTACGTAGCACCCACCACAGCGGTGACATGAGGATGAAATGTACATACACAATGTGCATACAATGACACATGGTAAATGGCATTACACGTGGATCATGAACTCGCATAAACACACAACACAGGTATTTAAAAAGCATAAAGTCAACACCAGAGCTCTTTATGGTGCGATGAACAGGTGCTTCTGAGGAGAGCATGCGACACAAATTGTGTATTAAGTCCTTCTTTCTTCACTAAAGAAAAGAAAATGCTTAAAAACAAAATTTCACATTTGCTATTCCAGTGAGTTTGGGCAGTCAAGTCAGTATCTACCAACGTCAACATCAGTTGGATTGATGACAAATTCACCTTCAAACCACAAATTGATGCACTAACAAAAAACTTTTTTAATACAGAAACAAGTCAGGTTTTCCTCCATCTTGTAGACAGAAGATTGTGGAGGCAGTCTTTCTATTATGGTGCCATGCAGCAGCCTCCACTCTCATGTCCCTAAATGCTGTCTGCCATTCAGCTCTTAGATTTATAACCAGAAACACCTATAGCACTTATAGAAGGGGCCAGCATTTGTTTTAATTTATTTATAAGGGACTTCTTCAAAAATTGCCCTCATATTTGACGTCACTTATTGGCAGGAGAGCTGTAACACATAAAATACTTTCACAGGACTGGTTAGTACTTCAGGTTACTTGAAGTAACACAGACTTTGCTGCGATTGCTTTTAGATTCTTTGCACCACACACCTGGAATGAATTGCAGTGTACTTTAAAGCTTGATACTCTGGTTCTAGTCTGATCTAGTAAACCTGACTGATTTTAACTGACACTATATTGTACTTTTGAAATGAGATCTCCATAAATAAATAAAGGTTTATATATATTATAGAGCTGCAAAGATAGGTCAAGTAGTCAACCCACACAAGTGATTGGTAAATGTTTTGACTGCTGATTGATGTTTTTGAAAAATAACCTTAAGTTTTTGTCTGTTGCTCAGCATTCGGATAACCCTGTAAAAAATGAGTAAAATAACACATCTTTCTCAACCACTTTCAATTCCTCTGTCTTGTTTCCAGGCAACTCTTTGATGGCACCAGTAGGAAGATGGCAAAAAGGCAAAGATCTGTCTTGGTACTCAAAAGACAAAAAAGGTGGTGCAACCTTGTCGAAAGAGCAAGAACTCGCTGCTGTCAAAGCTGCAGAGCATGAGGCACTGATGGCTGCTCTGTAAGTATGACTTCCTGTAACAGAATGGTTGACTTGGTTTGGGTCAACAAATATAATAAATAAATCTTTTCCCATTCTCTTCCATTACACAGAGGGCACAAGAATATAAAGAGGCAACCAACTGGCCTGACCAAAGAGGTATGTCACTTTTTTGGTACTGCTTTTTACTTAAAATCATTTTAAAGACTTTGCCTTTAATAAAATGAATGATTTGAACTTTCCAAATTTTGATACCAGGACCTCGCAGACGTTTGCAGGAGGGAAGAGGCAGATGGTGAAGAGAAAAATGTGGACCGTGTCTCAGGCTTGGGAAGCTCCAGGTGATTTTCTCTTGTCAATTTTGGGATGTAACAACCTATTACACAAAGCAACCAAATAAAACAAACCAGCAAATTTAAAATGACAGCATGTGCAGCCAAGGAAGACATATATAACCCTGTAATTATCACAGCACTTCAGAAATTGAAACATTCACCATTTCTGTGGGTTTCACTTCATTAAAGGGACAGTTCACCCCATGTAGGAACTGTTTTCTTTCTATTAAACTGCACCTGCCAACTGTATTATCGCACAGAAGGAAGCATGTATCTTCTGTTAGCTCACCCTGCACCACTGAGCTAGCTAACTTTACAGCTCAGCCGAGGAGGACACTATTAATGTTTACATCTCGTGCTGTCACAAGCCTGTCCTCCATGAGAAAATGCACACCTCCTTCTGCGTGGTGATACGGTTGGCAGATGTAGTTAGGTAGAAAGAAAATAGTTCCCATGAAACTGCTCACATCAAGGTCTGTGGATTATCTTGAGTAACCAGGCTGTGATTTCTGGAAAGAGACATCGCTGTTGAGTTTTTGCAAGTATATCATTTTGGCACTTTGAGCACCACAAGCCGAGTGCCATCTAGTTCAGTTATATTCGAGAGAAGGCAGACGACTCTACAGCTGATGTCCACAGCACTCAGCAGCTCACATTAAAATAATCTAGATTGATAAATAGCACTACATATAAAAGGAAAAGTCTGTGTTTTTATTTTGGGGGTGAACTGTCTCTTTAAGGTCCAACTTTATAATGTTATCTTAAAAATTGTTTTAGCGTGAAACACGTTGGTCGGGGGAAATGGCAGTATCTTTCTTTGCCTTCACTGTGTTCTTTTTATGCTCTGTTAGAACTCAAAGACTTGACATTCAAATGATGGCAACAGAGCCTTTTATCTTAATGTACTGTGATTGTTTGTTTCTATCTACAGCGCAGGGTCAAGGAAAATGGTGCTCTCTCAAAAGGAAAGGGAGGCAGCTAAAATAGGCTTGGCTGTTTTTACAGTAAGTTCTTTTCCTCACTTACAAACACACTGAACTTTTTCAGATGCAGACTCTGTAAGATGCAGATGTTGATGTAAGTGCAAAGCGGGTTGATGGACAAAAACAGACTTTTTGAGTGTCTTTTGCAGGTAGTGAAAACAGTTTAAGAGCTAAGAAAAGAGAGTTCCTTTCACTGGATCTACAACTTGATACAAATATTAAAGACATGCCTTCTTTACAGCACCACAGAACAGAGGGCAGTGCAGAAACCTCAACAACAAAGACATCTCAGGGTGAAGAAAAAGGGGATTTGGAACAACGGTATGTATTTTATTAGCTACCACCTAAGATAACTTACTAAACACATATAAAAGACATAAATAGCATAAAACACTTAGTTCCTCTGCACCAAATGTGACCCTGCATCCAGTTTTCCATGTTTACTTCAATAATAATTCTTGTTTTCTACCCATAGGCACGAGAGCAAAAAGAAAAAGAAAGAGAAAAAGAGCAAAAAGGAGAAAAAGAAGAAGGAGAAAAAGAAGAAAAGGCAAAGGAGAGACTCGTCCTCTTCGAGGTCAGATGACGACAGAAAGAGGTTGGTCCATCTCTGCATACAGATCTTTGATCACAAGCCGTCACCTGTCGCCTGAGGGGGGACATAATAACAGGAACACTACCCAAAAAATGACCATTTGTAAATTGCTGTGTGACCTTGATTTCTTATTTATCCAGCTGTATGCATTTTCACCAAAAATACCTAGCGATGGAGTCTGGTTTTGAAGATAGCATAGAGAAGTTTCACTTTCAGTTCAGTTTTAAATACATAATGCGAGATAAACAGTTTTTTCCCCCCCATGAAATCAAGGTAACAGCATAACAAATGATACAGAAATGGTCATTTTGTAGGGTAAGAATTCCTTCACCCCTATTTCCAGACCCAGTGTAGTTATTACAGGCTTTAAAGAGGCTGTGTTAATGAGTGACATTGTGTTTTATTTTGTTAACTTATATTGCATTTGTTCATGTTATTGTGTCCATCTCCTGTATAGCAGTCACATTTGCAACCACACAGACTTGCTGTGAAACACAAGCTTTCGTCTGCCAGCACTAGAGGGCACTAAGGCACTGTTGTACACACAGTTCTGTAAAACGTTGCCTTTTAAATTTGGGTGCATGTATGACAAGACCTTAGATATATCCTGTAGATCTGGTGTGTAGGACAATAGGGGGGAATACTAGATTTAATCATGTACTTTATGTGCTGGCGAGGGAGGAATTGCATTACAACACAGACATATGATGGTCGTGGACAGTATTATTGATACAAGTTGTTAGATATACAGACTTTTGTCCACACCAGTTATATAAAATTGCAGCTGTCACTGGGTGTTTTCTGTGGATGTCACTGTCTGGGAGTTACTTCTTTTCCCCAGCCTCACAACATCTTAACTGATCTACCACGACCCAATCATTGATTGTTTGTTTCCTTTCTCTCTCCAGGCAGAGAAAGGACCACCATCATCATAATCCATCATACCATAGTCAGAGTGGAGCCAGACCCCATGACAGCCATTCAAGGGGGGGAGCAAAGGCCGAGCGACAGCCCTCCTACCCCCATCATCGACGGCAGCGGCATGACACAGACTCCTCTGACGGGGGGTCTCCTGTCCCCCGTAACCCTGTCAGCCACAAGACGGCCCCTGCTGGTACCACACAAAGCCACAGGCGGCGCCACGACACAGACTCGGACGACTAATGTCCCCCGCACCCCACCCCAACCCCCCCAATTCAAAGACGCACAGTGCGGACAGAGTGCTCTACAGCAGCTTGACTGGCCCTGAAGACCTCATTTACCCCGAGCAGCTAAAGACAGGTCGATGTGCGTGTGACTCACAGGCTTTGGCCCAGTGTTTTAACTTCTTTACCTAATAACTTAGTCAAGCGATCATGATGGGACACTGGTTGGGTTGTGTTGTCGTTTTATAAACACATTTTTTGTGATTAAACCACCAAATATCACATTTTCTATATTGTCTTTTTTTTATCTTGCTGTTAAACACAATGCAAGATTAAATGTTTTGCAAACCAAACAATGATCTTTTATTTCCATGCCTGGCCCTGGTAGCTGATGCTGTTTGGGAAACCTTAGAGAATTAATTCAAAACATTGCAAACAGAAAGAAGTGTGTTCCTTCGTGTGTTGTAAGATTATTCTTCGAAATTACTTTCCTGACACTCAACAGCTTCAGTAAAAGATCTCAAACTGATCCAGATTGAGTTTTCATTCTTTGTGTTAACATTTCTGTTTTAAGGTATCATGCAGATTTTTTGCAAAGCTGAAACTTTTGTGTCATCAGCACAGTAATATTTGTATCATTAAATATAATCTTTATTTAAATACGACACTGCAGCTGTCGCAGAATCAAGCCTGTGTTTGAAAGAGTCAAAGAAGTGTTTCTTTAAATGTCTTTCCTGAAAATTTTCCAAGATGCTCCTTGACGCCTTTTTCGTCCCTGCACATCTCCTCCATCCCACTGTGCCTCTTGCACTACTCAGCAGCTCCGCTCTTTTCTTTTCTCAATCATGCCAGCGCTCCTTAATCCCTCACCGTTCTAGGTTCAGCTCCCTGACTGGTGCGATACCATTGGAATGCTCTCCACTGATCATAATAGAGTGTAGTGTTTGCATTTGCCTTGAATTGGTCTGAAAGAGGGTATTCTGCTGGCTGGCACCTGGGGGGTGCACTAAAAAAGAGCAAGGCATTCATAAAGAAGAGTGCAAAAAACCAGGCTGGTCCTTTTATATGACCGAGCACCGTTAGACTGCCACACACAAACCAAGCTGACGGAGCAGCAGGAGAGGAGGCCACACAAAGCAGCCCTATGAGGGACCCAGGACTCCAGCTCCCTCCCCTTCCACCACCACCATACTTTCCTGCCATGTTTTACAGGCTTGGCTGCATTAACCATAGCAGCCTAATCAACCTGCAAGAATGCTGTCCTAGATTGCCATCTCAACACAATGTGAAACAGGGTGTGCTCTTCACATTACTGCTTTAACCCAAGGTGGTTTACATCACCTTGGGCCATCACATTTCTTCCTGGGTCAAAGGGTGATGGCTCCAACAGGTTGCTAAGACATCACGTTTTTAGGTTTGTTGTTAAATTTTAGTGTCGTTTCTTGAAGTGCACTAATGCTCTTTTAAATTATCAATTAACCTGTTTTTTTGGGTGAATCACTCTGACAATAAAATGTCAGATAGTCGTGAAACTGCCCATCACAAGTTATTTCTACCAACTACTTTTAACTCGTGTATTTTTGATATATAAAATCAAATCCCTTTTTCAAAATTGTATTCAACAGCAAAGTAGCACATACAACAGACCTTTTTCATGGAAGACATTTGGACTTGTCTCAGTAGGAAACGCACAGGTGTAGGGGAGAGCGGGGTCGGTTGGTACATTGTTGTATTGACACTAAAGCTGTCAAAATAATACATTAATTTCGATTGATTAATCACAGAAAAAAATAACGTGTTAAAAAACATTAATGCTGATTAATCGCGTTCTGTGGTGCCCTTTGACCCGGTGCGTCATTGATGGGCACAGTGGCTTTGTAACATTATGGAGGCGGACAAGACGATGATGCTTGGCCTCGTGAATGGAACTTTTACATTTTAAAAAATGCCCAGATGGATCGGAGCACTGTTCTATGCAAGCCTGAAATATCACCTTAACGCAAAGCATTTAGCAGTGAAGACAGAGGTCCGAGCTAGCACAGCCTCTGATGCTAGCGTTAGCAGCCAGCCTCTTCAAATCACACTCGACCAGGTGTTCAAACTGAGTAACTCTACATGTGACTGGCAAACTAACTCCCTTGCAAAATGGATTGCAACAGACTGCAGACCAGTATCTCTGGTAAAGGACAGGGGGACAGTTGTGTCCAAAATCCAGCAGCTTTACTACGACACATCTGCCAAAATTCATTTGAAATTAGATTTTTTGAATACTTTCACAGTGAAATTGATGCATGAGATAAATTTAGGTTAATTAATCACAGATCAGGATTCGGAAAGAATTATTCTCTATATTGAACATTGATTTATCTCTGACTCCACAATTTTATATTATTGGATATATACTCCCTAAGGGAAGATTGAAAAAGAGGAAGCTATATCTATTACATGTCCTACTATTAGTAGCCAGGAAGATGATAACTCTATCATGGCTTAAACCACTTCCTCCTACTATACTTCAGTGGCATGAGAGTGTGAAGAAGGTATATGTAATGGAGAAGATAACAGCACACCTTCATCTTAAGATGGACATTTTCAGAACTAGATGGGCTCCCATAAGTGCATACTTAAATTTGCCAATGTGAAACACTGTTAAACTGCGCTGTCTTAGGAGAACTGTCCGAGTGTATTTGTGATTTGTGCAGAGGAATATCAGAAACAATCCAATAAAACTGAGCTGTTTGCCGAACTGTTACTGGTTCAGCTGTTTAGTTTATACATTTCTTGTATAACTTTTTTTTTGTATGTATGTAGGCCTTTATTAAATGGCTAGTTCATGATGAACATTAAAATCACCAACATGTTTCGGCCATGCTCACTGGCCTTCATCAGGGCGATCAGCCATTTAATAAAGGCCTTTTAACTTTTGCACCAGAGAAGAGTTGACTTGGATTTTGTTTTTTTCAAGATGACATTAGTTTTACTTGGAAAGAGTACTTACACATATCACACACACACACACACACACACACACACATATTTTCACGTAAGGTGGTATTACAAAGGTCTTAAAAGTCTTTAACTTGGTAATATCTGTAGACACCCTGAGGCTATGGAGTTAGTTTCATTTTGGAAAAAAAAAGTCAATAACTTTACATGAGTGTTAAAAAAAGTTATGGTTGAACTCACAGTCAAAATGTAGACTTACATGAAGTTAACCTCCTGAGACCCGAGCCTTTGTTTAGTATGCATTTTCCTAGCTATTTGGGATCAGTAGGACCCAATAAGTATAAATGAAAAAAACACATTGTCAACATTGTCAACAATAATTAAGTCCCAGTGTCTTCAGATGAGTAATTCCTAATTACTGTAACAGTGTCATAGCTTACTGTTGCTAAAATTGGTCAAATTTGTTGCCATATCAAACTACCAACATTATTAATCATAAATAAACAAGTTTCAACCATAACATGTGATCAGGTTTTGGACCTTGTCCACTTTCGTGTTGGCGTCGGCTGCAGACTGACTTGGCAGAGATGGTTGCCATCTTGTTTTTACATGGATTAGTGTGTTGTGCTCTTAGATGGAACAAAATGATGTCCATGAATGAGGACAACAGGTCTAAGTTAATTAAAATGAAGTATAAGGTCAAGTTAACGCAAAATTTTATTTATTCATTGTTTATTTGATAGTGACAGATACATTAACATAGAGAAGTGCATAGCAATTATCCAATGCAATGTACCACAGCATTTGTAGCTACTGCTAATTTCCAATGCCCGTCCCTAAATGTGATGTCCACATATGAGGACACAGGGTCACAGGAGGGTAATGCAGTAAACATCAGATCAGTGACTTCACACTGGGTCTAATTCAATTAGGAAATGTCTTCATCTTGTTCTGTCTACTTTTTGTTCATTTGTAACAAGGTAGGAACTATTAACAAAACTGTCCCAACCGCCCCAGAGTAATGTCCCTATTGTCCCCTGGGTAACTGTCCCTGGGAAAGCAGACACACTGGACTCCTGTGCTGGCCACCAACAAATATTCAGACAGCTAACACGAGCACCAACTAATAGGCCAGGAAATTAGCTTCCAACAATATGTATTTTTATATGAATAAAAACAGTATAGTACATGATAAAATCCAACGAGCCAATAATATCACTTACATGCTGTAGATTTTAAAACTGTGAAAACAATGTGAAGAACAGTCAGAGGGTCTCCACAAAGTGACGAGGGTGTGGCTGAGTATGAACAAGGTGAATATCAGAAGCAAAGTTGCTTTCTGTCTTGATAAAAAAGCTCTGTCCGCACTGTCATTTTTTGTACTGGGTAGTGTTTCCCCCTGACTACAAAAAGTTCTGGAGAAACCAGAGCAAAATCCTGTAACTTCAGAAAATGTTTGATTCCGTTTTCACTGTGTCAGTTTTATTTATATGTGTAGCTGCGACACAGAGTGTCATTTGTTGTCTTATTTTAGCGGTGACATCACTGTCTCCTGTGGTGTTTAACAGAAAATCCAACAGCAAAGTTCTCGATGCAAAGTGCTGCACAAAGAAGACAAAGACTGATTGATTTTAAAGATTGTTTAATTAATTAATGTTGTGTCTACCCATGCCTGAAGTTAGTCTTTTTGGGGTTGCAACTTACAATTGTGAGGGTTAGGAAAAATAATGTTTTGGTTTTAATTCAGTACAAATATTAGTTCACCTAATTTGATCCTAATGATGTAAGTTGGCAATGTACCATCGAAAGACAATCAGAAGCCTGACAAATTTATTGATTTCTTCTTATTCATATTAGTTCTGATGAGTAACTAGATGCTATTGAGGCCACAATTATTACCTATCAGTATATTGCTTATTGCTATCAACAACGAAGTGACAGATGAAATGCAAGTTAATGCATTTTGCCATGGCGTGACCTGTTATTTCACAGACACTGCATAGGCAGATTACCTTAAATTTCAAATAAGGGTCAAAGGCCAAGTCTGTACTCCAGAGTTTTTGTAGATACATAACTTAAAAAACAAACAAACAAACAAACAAACAAAAAAAAAAAAAACAGAATTGCTGCATCTCCAATACAACTTCAATGTATTTTCTCTGATCCACACTGCTGAGGTAATGACTTTTTTGCTGGGTATTATAGAGAAGCTGAAGACTGAATATTTGATATTTCCTGTTTGATAAATGACTCAAACATTACATCTATTTTTATATTTGATTTAATGGGATGAAGTTTAATGACATTCTTTTAACTCAAGTCTCGCTTTGTTTTTTGATGTAATTTTGTGTAAATGTTTTTGAACAACAAATGTTGAAAAAGGAAAGTGAAATAACTGTAATAATTAGTCATGTGACCCATGTATATTTCTCACACCTGAGTGCTCATGTGATTCTGTTGAGCAAACCTTTAGAAGTCACGGGCAGAACGCGTTATTCGCTCTTAATAAAATCAATAATTTCAGTGTGGAGTGGTTTTATGTTGATTTTAATTTATTTTCTGTTGACTGATCAATCATTTCAGCACTACTATATATGTATGTAAAACACAGTGAGATTACTTGTGCATGTTTTAGTAGCAAAGATGCAAATTGTCAATGTAAAATGACAAAATATTACCAGGTATGGAGAAAAGCTACATTACGCACCTTAACATTCAGCAGTTTTATTGCATAGAGTGTGAAAATGAAAATCAGTTGCAGAAACATTTTTTTATCCAGTCGCTTTAATTACAGTGCTTTTTTCCTCACAAATCAAAAGCTTTACATAGAAAACAGACAAACCTAAGTAAGAGATTAACATGGTGTTCAAATATTTAGGCTTTTAGAAATCAAAAACAAATGTTTCATGCACGCTCAAGACATGTTCAGAGCAGTAAAGAAACACCCACACCTTTTAGAAAAGAAACTCGAAAATAAAAAGGCAACATGTGTCTTGGATAAGAAGGCATGTGTATGGCTTCCTGTTTAACCCAAGCACAATGTGCTGCAAAGGAAGAGATACTGGCACTACGTTAATATGTAGCTGAAACTGATTTTGTATTGCCATGAGAACACCGTTTCCCAGATTTCATAATTGAATAAAAAGGCATGATTTGCCAGAGTCTTGAGTGACAATAGGGCCACTGTAGTGTCCAACTCCTTTTGTTACAATCACGTAACACAGTACACACAACGGGTTACATACAGGGCTGTTGAAGTAAGTACTCAGTAGGGAAATCGTTCCTGTGCGACCTAATGATGTAAACACCCAGTAAATATGCACGTCCTTAAAGACCAACAGACCACATCATGCAGTTTTGCTAACAAGGATATTGCAAAGGCAGCACATGATAAACCTGAGACTCAGAAATACAAAAACCCGATGCTGACTCAACAGACTGCCTTTCAAACAACCATGAAGCAGGTAGATGTGAGATCGTTGCAGCATTTCTCAATTCAAGCCTATGTACCATATAACAAAGGCTGGTAAGTGATCACAGACAGGAAACTTGGACAAAGTGATGTCAGTACAGAGTACAAATAGTCAATGCCAGTGTTCACTAAAAAAAAAAAGGGGGGGGGGGTACATACAGTCACTGGTTACAGTAACTATAGTAGCTGCGAGTAGTCTATCGGTGTTTAATTCAGATTTTTGAAAATTAAAAGCCCCTCATGGGTCCCTCCCTACAGTACATGTGACCAGATAATAACAAGTCATCAGATTGCATTGAGGTCCTGGGCAAACATGCTGGTAAATTCTTATTCCTTGCCTTCCTTTTCTCATTCAATGCACACATGGCTGCCCAACAGCCAGAAAGAGAAATAACCGTGGTAGGATCTGAAAGAGTGCAATAAAGCTGCCCCATTACCAAATATATTTACAGTTACATAAAATAAAATAATAAAACCCGACAGCTTTACAAGAATAGATCACCCCCATCACTGACCTGCATATTTGTAATAACAACAGTTGAGGTGAGGGCAGCTTCCAGTACTTTTTTTGGAGGGGGTAACTCAGTTTTGAAACACCGTAAGAGTAGAGAGCAAAGTCAGAGATCGGGTGGAGTAGATTAGTTGTAGATAGCAGGTGATGATTAATGGTTCTTGAGCTGACTAGACAACCAATCCAGTCCTTCATAGAGGCCATGCCCTGAGGTGGCACAGGCTGCCTGGATGTACCAGTTTCTGTTACGTAGGTTGTGAAGACCCAACTTGTCTGTGAGTTCGGCTGCATTCATAGCGTTCGGAAGGTCCTACAAACAAACAGCGAAAAAACATTAGGTGCCAACCCCATGACTACAACAGGAAAAACCTGTAGGAAACTTGTTGTGTTAACCACCTGACTGTACCAAAGACTTTCACAAGTTTGACTTACTTGTTTGTTGGCAAACACTAATAGCACGGCATCACGCAGCTCGTCCTCTGCCAACATTCTTGAGAGCTCGTCATGGGCCTCCTGACATCGCTCTCTGTCGTTGCTGTCAACTACAAAGATGAGACCTGGAACAAGAGCAAATGGGGAACAATGATGATGAGAGTGTGAGTGATGTGTCCTGTGTTTTGAAAATAAAAACAGTGGAAACTGAGTGAATATATAACAAAAAAACTCTACAGAGTGACAGGTTAAAATCTATTATGCTCATTATGCTTGGACGTTCATATTAAACATATGGAAAGTTTCAAATGATGAGGTATGTAGAATAATCCATGTGAGCAAACACCTCAGGCTTCAGACCGTTCTGAACACTCTATTTCAAACCATTTTTCCTGCTGTGGCTACAAGATGATGCCAGCTTGTGACAGATATCTTTATATGGTCATCTGCTCCACGCAAACTACTGCAAGTGATTACATAGCATACACTGCTACATGTAGCTACATGCTAATGTCAGGGAAACGTAATTTCGGATGCCAATTTGGTTAATTTCTCCCCCTTTTTCAGATCATATTCCAGCCGTACGGATTTTGGTTTAGAAGCTCTTATAAGGGGATTTTTCGTTGTAGAAAGCACAGCCATACTATGTTACAGTGTTTGGCTTGCTGCAATGCAGTGCAGAGACACAAAATACAAAAGACCCCAAAACGCTGACCAGTCAGAACAGACTGGGCTTTTTCAGGAGGGGAGCTTTAAGACGCAGGTGCTAAAAAAGAGCATCTTAGACTGAGGGTGAAAACAAGTGTTGCAGCAAGGACAGTATGAGGAAAATAGAGTGTTTATTTTAGCATTAAATCATGTCAACGTGTTTAACAGAAACCCCGAAATACAAGTATGAAGCTGAAAATGAGCAAACTAGGTCCCCTTTAAAGCAATTAAATGTCAGGTACTCAAGTTGTGACATAACTAAACTTACCCTGTGTGTTCTGGAAGTAATGACGCCACAGCGGTCGAATTTTGTCTTGACCACCGACATCCCATACTGTGAAACTGATGCTCTTGTACTCTACTGTCTCAACATTAAAACCTAAAAAAATAACAACACATAATTACATTAAAAACAATCTTTACGTTTTCATATAACAGTATTAAGGGCACACAACACGTTAACATCATTATCTCAAAAAGTCTGACTAACCTATTGTGGGAATGGTAGTCACAATCTCTCCAAGTTTCAGCTTGTACAAAATGGTAGTCTTTCCAGCAGCATCCAGGCCCACCATGAGGATCCTCATCTCCTTCTTCCCAAACATACTGAAGAGTGACTGAATCATATTCCCCATTGTGGCTGGTGACGGGAACCTACTTTGGCGAAACTAAAAAAATAAAAAAATCTGAGGAGAAACAACAAATCAATGGTTGAAATAACAACAAGTATGGAAAACAATAGCTAATAATCAAACGTGATATGGTATAGAGCTGAAATGATTTGCCAATCAATCAATTTATCACTGGATCGAAAATTAATCAACAACCACTTTGATGGGTGATAAATTGGTTGAGTAATTTTAAAGGAAAATGCCTGACGTAACCTCCAGCTTCACAAATGTGTGGAATGACTGCTTACATTTGTGTTGAGGCGTTTATCTGTATCACTTAGGTCGCATAAAACAAGCTATTTGAAGACACCCTTTTAGCTTGACTTTGTCTTTACATTTCATAGATGAAATTAACAACGATCAACAGATGTGTCGTAATTGATATATTCATGAAATATCTGGGTCCACAGACGTCAAGCGAGTAAATGCTCGGACACTTTGCTCAATTTCTACAGACAAGAATTACATCAAATCATGCTGGCTCCTCTATTTCACTTACAAACTAGGCTAAATGAAAATGAACCAAATGGGACCGTATAGGACATTTAACATCTGCCAATCCTATAAAGAAACACCGACACGTTCAGCCAATCTAAGACACCGGAAATGAGATGTCTCCTAGCTCAATCTGGCGTTGGTTTCTCATATATATTTTACATATTTATTTATTTATTTATTTTTACAAAATAACACGTCCCGGCTATCCGACATGGGAAATGTAACGGAAATTTGAGAAGGATCACGAAAATACATGTTTTTGACCAGATCAGGGTGAAACTAACGTCACGCAGGGATGAGGTCATAAATGTGGTTAGCCGTTAGCCGTTAGCCTTTAGCCGTCGTCCTGTGACGGTAAGTATATTTCTTCACAGGTTTGGCTGTAATGTTAGAACCATTTTCGCAATGAAAACCCAAAGCGGCTCACTGGAGTATTTTGACATTAAGCTTGGCAAGATGCGATGTTGAAAACTTGTCCATCTAACCTGAGTAAACAAACAACAAAGTTAGCTTGCTAGCTTGCGATGCTAACTGTCGTCCGACCGGTTCGAATTTTCGACAATGTTTTAAGAAACCACCTCCTAACACATTAAGATTATTATTTCACCTGTTCATACCAACGCAGTACAGATGACTATGCGGACATGAATTAGAAAATAGAGAAATAACGGGCTGATTCAGATAAGTCGGCTAAGTTAGCATAGTCGGTGAAGTTAGCTGTTAGCAGCCAGTCACAGTTTTTCTCTCGGCCGGCCGGAATATCGTCACCGCGGGCACAAAGACAGTTCTGCTTGAAAATGTTTGACTTAATGTACGATTACATAGAGCGAAAACAACATTAAACTGGCTCATTAATGTCACTATATCACACTTACACGGTTGATATGCCTCCTTCCTTCTTCAAGGCGTTTCCGTCCTCAGGAAAATGGCGAGAATTTGACACGTCAGAGTTTCCGTTCCGGCTTAACTTCCGTGATCGTCAGGATGAGAGGTGTCGCCCCCTGTGGCCGAGGGGAGAATTACACCCACAGCTGATACTAAAATAACAATGTTTAATAAGTCGGTTGATTGGCGTACTTTAACTCAACTATTCAGCGTTTATAAACAGAATATTAACACAAACTAAGCTGTCTGAAACACACACACATAGTGTATTTACAGGCCTACACAGGGGGCCAGTTTGGTGTTTATTGACGTCGCTATTTGTCAACAATGAAAATATAATTTCTCCGTATTAAGAGTTAATGCATTTAATAAAACAGTATAAATTATACTCAAATAAATACGTTATAAATAAGTATTTATTGTTTATACACATGTACAAATCATTCACAGGTATATTTAAAACTGTATATTAATGTGTTCTGAGGTATTGAAAGCATGGTGAGCTTGAAGGTTAATTCTTGACCTTGACAATAATGGTTTCATAAAAAAAAGATGTATATGAGAAAATAAAACAAGTTGTAGATTTATCCCAGAGATTTCAGCTGCATGAAATGGCTCTCGTGTTCACTCACTTGTCATAGAGAGAAAATAAGTATTAATAAAGAATAGATATTAAATTGAATAATAAATATACATATTTAATGTATAAAATTAGAATTTTGTTGTATCTGATTATACATCACGTTAAAGTAAAGTTGTTTTGCTTACTATTACTATATGTTGTGTTACAAGCTATCTTTTTTATGCTGCTTATCAATGTTAAATTGGGGGATTTAAGTAAGATGTTTCTCATAAAGGGTTAAGTATAATGTTATTGAACTTTTTTTTTGACAAACATTATATTGTATTGTGAACAATGTATTTGTATTGCCCAAAGAGCAACCTGGTGATGACCTGCAGTCTTAATTTATTTTCTATTAAGTTTTTTGTTCTCAAACTCAACTACTTCCACTGTCTTTTGATCTACGAGCAGGTCATTAAGGAAAAGTCGAACCATGTTATTGTTGCGCCAGTTGAATTTTAACCAAGCAGGGTCAACTATGCCTGCTACCCCCAGCAGAGGGGGCAGCAGGAGGGTAGAAGGGCAGGAGCGAGCAGCAGGAGGGGAGAAGGGTCTATAGTTGGTGATGGACCACACAGTGAAGGCTCATAACGCTGTCTCACTCTGCAACCATAATTTGTGGTTTTGCCCTGCCAAATGCCTGAGAGATCGCTCTCAGCATATTTTTACAGCGACTGCTGTCTTCTGTGTGTGTGTGTGTGTGTGTGTGTGTGTGTGTGTGGAAGGTGTTTCTGAAGTAGCAGTTGTTTAGATTCTTGTAGATTCTCATGGTTGACTTAGTGTCACAATTAGGCATATAGATGTTTCCTGAACAAAACCCTCAGTAACTATAAAACATCCTCTCTTTATCTTCCTTTCTGATATTGCAGATATTGTTTGAACCTGGAGAACTTATGCTACAAATTGTTTATATTTTAGACAACATATAGCTATGTGCCTCTCTAAGGAAAGAAAATGTCATGAACCAAAGGTTTCATAAAGTGTCAGGTGAAAACACAAACTCTGACACATGCCAGTTTTTTGGCAAGTGTCAGAGTTTGACTTCAACATATTATGTGCTTTTCTTTGAGGAAATTCTGCAACCCATGGGTTCATCCAACCCTTTCAAAATCAACCCCAAAACTCAGTGTAGTAGTAAATCTTAAGACGAGGCAGCTTCTCAGTTCTAGAAGAGGTTGCATAACAGTGGTATCTACATATATACTGTAGGTGGTGTCTCCATTTGTGTTTACAATGTCATATTTAGTGAAGTACAACACTGACAGGTTTGGAAGCTTTGCACTGCCCACAGTACTATAATATGATAATCTAAACAACTACATTTTCTAAAATATTGATATCTATTGCAACGCCAAGATGCTCTTATCATCTTAAAAACATGGTGAGCAAAACCTGTTATTTACCTGTGAGCTATTTCCCTTTAAGGTTGTAACAGTAGCCAGCAGCTGGACCAATATGAACCATCATTAAATAACAACAAAAATAAATAAAGATAAACAGCACTAAACAAGGCAGGCTTCAACTCTGCACTGTTCTGTAATACAATGCAAAACACAATACAGTCAACAAAATGGGCTTCAGAAGAAAAGAAAACAAATACTTTAAAAAGTAAATTGTAGCTATAAAATGTTCTTTGATTTGGTGCTCCTCTGTACAGCTGGGAATAATGTCAAACCCCCCATTCACAGGTTCAGGTGTTGAGGTGTGACAGCAGACATCAGGGCAAACACGTGCAATGAAACTGTCAAAATGATATTTTATATGTCTTGTTTTTTCTTGCTGTAGCCAAATCACATATGTGCACTCTGAGATAGTCCCTTTGCTGAAATATCATACCTGCAGGCTGAAAACCACCAAAACATTTTGAATTCAAATGAGATATATGAGGCAGAAATAATGCTCAAAGATCATCTGGATAATCTCAGGGTTTAAGAATGCATTCAGTAGCAGCTGAGGATTTTAATGAAACATCTAAAAAGCAGACTTTATTGGGATGACATGATCATAATATGCATTCATAACATACCATGTGGTGAGCCGAAGGTACAGTAAAGATCCTTGGGGTAATGCTAAATCCACCTTCCCATTCTCCACAGGCAAACACAGCGGTAATATCCATTTGAAGGGCTCTCCTCCTTCCTCCTTTCTCCTTTTCGGCTTCATATCTCACTAGTTACTGACAGTTGTGATGTGTGGACAGAGGACTAGAAATAGGACAGTAGGGGGTGTATAAATCACCCCCTCAAAGCACACACACAAACACACAAACAAATTCTGATGCCTCGCTTGTGTAAATGCTTTAACTTTCTTCCACACATGCACACGTGCACTCTCTCTGTCTGTTTCAAATCCCTTCTTTATTTGTGTCCAATGTGTCCCCAGAACAGCTACCTGGCTACAAAGGGCTCTGGATTTTTTTCAAAGGGGCAACATTTACACCGGGTATGAAAAATGAGATATGCTTTTGGTACATTTCTGGGCATTGTATTTGGACCACATTATCACCTGAGAGGCATTGTCCAAGCCGCTTAGTCAGTCAAGCCCAAGTCAAGGTGCATTTATGGCTGATGAGGCAGAGAGTGAGGCTTGCCTGCAGTTTGTGAATGGAAAAGGGCTGCCAAGGAGCCAAACAGGCTTTTCAGTAGGAAGTGGGTAAGAATCTCAGTAGGGGCCTTACTCCCCTCTGACACGAGGCCTTGCAAGGATAAAAACGCTCAGTAAGGGGCTTGGGAACGCTGATCTGGTGTGTGTGTGTGTGTGTGTGTCAGAGAATTTGTGTGTGAGACGTGTTATCTGCAGTTTCGTGAGCCTTCACATTCTTAAATATACATTTTTTTGAAGATCTTATTTTGGATTTGGAGTTTGTGTGTGGTGTGTGGGGTTTCATTAATCATAATAATCATGATAATAGAAGCACATTATTAAATGGCCCACGGGCAACCAATATACTGCTGTGTGAACCGTACAAAGGGGCTAGTTTGGGCTAAGCAGTGCTGGAACTCGGATGGACAGGCATGGGATGCCTCCCTCTGCGTCTCATGTACTGGATTATAGGTCGGGCAAAATCCCAAAGGAGGTGTGAAGCAGGAAACAAACCAAACATTATTACAACGACCAGCATCGTTGCCATGAGAGGATCCATGCTGGCTTCATCCATTGGCAGCAAGCGCCACTGGGCACCCTACCCCACGCCTCTCACAGTAGGGGGCGCTACAGAGAGAGACAGGCTGGGGCAAAAGGATAAATGTGCACCAGTGTAGGCTGCCAATCACCTTTGTATGGTGATTGTCGGCAGCCTGAAAAGGTCGTTAAGGGGATTTACATAACATTTTGCACTCCGCCCCAGGTACATGCGGAAATATTTGATTCCATATTGAGTCATTACCGCATGAAGATTGTTCTCATGTATTCTGACAGCACAGTTTTTGGAAACAAAGGCAGTGAGGTGATCTAGCTGAATAGCAATGAAGAGTATGAAATGCATATCAAAATATACAGTCAGACAACAAACTCAAAATTAAAGAACATTTGTAAGCCAAGCCATTGTGTTCCATTTTTGCATCAATCAAAAATTTCCCAGAACCTACTTGTGCAAATTTCTTCATCCTTGATGCCAAAAAATGTATTCTTTAAACGTGTTTGGATTTTAATTTAGGACAATTGTGCTACTGTATCTTTGTTTTCAGTTACCCCATAACCCTTTCACTCTTCCAATGACAACTGGTCCAGAATATGAGGGAGCCTTTGGTGTTGATGGGAGATGTCCTGGGACACCCGTGACAGATGGTTGAGACAAGCTCTTCAAGGACGCACTTCCTCAGAAAGGACACGGGGGCCTCTGGCGTGAGACGAGGGTGTAATAAGAATGGGAATTGCTGGCTTGCAGGAAGTGGGCATACTGGCGAGGTGTTAGGGTACACGTAGAACGCGACGTCCATGCCAGGGAACTGGATTTCCTTGTAAAGGATGACTTGGCTGGACGTGAGATGCATGGTCCATTTCTTCAAATTCTCAGCACCCTTCAAATGACCTACATTTAACAGGACACTTTGCCACCTTCTATGAACTCAAAGGACGTTTTGACTGGTGTAATATCTGAGGCTACATCTGCTGCTCTCTCTTTGAAACTTGCTTCAAGCATCCACATGGGCTATGACGAGCCATTGCAAGATGAAACAACAGTGAGGATAAAGGTATTTCTTTGAAAGACTTTTTTGTTTCCCTCAGTGGGTTGGTTTGAAGTTGATTCATGTTTGCTATGTATACAGGTTTTTAAGGGTTGTCCCACCCCTGTTCCCTGTTTTAAATCCAGCTATATCCCATTGGAAGAGGCATCAAAGATTAAAGTGTGAACCTGTTGCACCTTGGGGTAGATAATTGGTTGGAATGCACAGCATGTCGAAGCAGGGCCTAGAGGACCAACCAGCAC